CTTAATAGAAAAAAAGTTATTTCTTTGTTTTTGAGACTGGATTTTTCATTTCATATGAATATTTGTCAAAGTACATTTGATAAATGGAAATACAAAATCAGTGATTTCTTATCTGTGGATTACAGGCATTTACACACAGCATGGTGCTCAAACTGTATCTCACATGGTCCTTGAGGAAGCACTACTTTACTGTTGAATGCCTGTGGTCCTAACTACACTTACCATTCTCTTTGTAGCCCATGCCCAGGATGACTTCTGGAGCCCGATAATAGCGAGTCACCACATAGGGAGTCATCATAAAGTTGGTGCAGGCTGTCCGCGCCAGGCCAAAATCAAGGATCTTGAGAGTACAGTCTGATTTTACTACAATGTTGCTAGGCTTCAAATCCTAGAAAACAAATGGTTTAGCGTATTAAACACACAATTTCATACGTTGGTACTTGGGCCAGCATCCTCGGCATCCAGGCTGCGTGAGCAAAGATGGCACAGCAGCACCGTTTCTAACAAAGACAGGCAAACACAGCACCGGAAACTACTGTGGGGTGCTCTGTATGCTGTGTGTGCCGTTTCTAACCAAGACAGTCAAACACAGCACCGGAAACTACTGTGGCGTGCTCTGTATGCTGTGTGTGCCGTTTCTAACCAAGACAGGCAAACACAGCACCGGAAACTACTGTGGCATGTTCTGTATGCTGTGAGTATGTGCTGCTCTGACTGGTTGATAAATAAAATGCTGACTGGCCAGTAGCCCGGCAGGAAGTATAGGCAGGATAAACAGACAAGGAGAATTCTGGGAACAGGAAGGCTGAGGCAGGGGATGCCAGCCTGCCATCCAGGGAGCAGCATGTAATGGCACACAGATAAAGCCATGGAACATGTGGCAACATACAGATTAACAGAAATGGGCTGAGTTTGAGTGTAAAAGCTAGTCAGTAGTGAGCCTGAGCTAATGGCCAAGCAGTTTTGATTAAATAAGCCTGTGTGTGTTTACTTTGGTCTGAGCGGCTGCGGACCAGGTGGGACACAGGAAAGAAAACCTTCAGCTACAGGAAACCACTCAACAGCAACAGAGGATGGGGAACAGCCCCCGTCTAAAAAGTAGTGGTAAGAAGAGTGTTCCACGTTACTGCCATCTGCTGGACAACTGGGGTAATAAAAATACAGCTCTGGATAGCTGTCCGGACTCCTGGTGCTCTGTGCAAGGTATCACTCCAGGATTGAGAGGCAACTGACGTCTGCCAAAGAAGTAAAGAGGTCACTGAGGTTTCTCAGCTCTCCCCAACACCCACAGACTCTCAAACTATCTAGTGACTTGAAAGACTCATTTTCAGTGCCAAGATGGCAGAATCAAGATAGTTCTGCCTCTTCAAATCTCGAGGACCACCCAAAACACAGTAAACAAGAAACACAAGTAAAGATAAAATGATAGGGGACCCTCAGGTCATGCTAGACTTGCAGAAGGCTGTGGAAATGGTTACTACAACATGGCAGCCATAGGAGTGGCTAAAAGACCCAAAATAAGCGAGAAGAGAAAGCTGTGTGTGTGTGTGTGTGTGTGTGTGTGTGTGTGTGTGTGTGTGTGTGTATGCGTGTGTCTATCATCCTGGCTTAACCACCACTACTGCTTGTTCAGTTCTTAGATCCAGAACCACCAACTGAAGAGATGTCCTAGGAAGGAGGACCCTACACATCATGACAAGTGTCTACTGTCTGGATTTCTGTGGTCCTCGCTCATAGGTTAACAAAGCCATTCACAGTGGGAAAGGGGAATGAATGGAAACTTTAGGGGGATGACTGCATACAAGTTCTGAGTGTATGCCGAGCTGGAAGACCCTAGGTATCACCATGCCTCCTCTATTTGGGGGAGTTTGGTGAAGGCCAGGTAGTAACTAGAGTCTGACCCAGATCCCCTCAGATGTTAGGGTAAAGATGGAGAGTTAACACAGAGCTGGGAAAACTGCAAGAGAACATCACTATCCACCCCACAAAAGTGGGAATGGTTCCTCACCCTTTTTTGCAATCAGCAGAAAGAATGCATCTGCACAACAAACATGTCAGTCCCGAGGCCTTACTACTTTTAGCATCTATGCTGAAGCAGGACAGGAACTGCAACCTTAGGTAGTGGTCACAGCCATTCTCCAGGACTCATGGAGTGGCTTCAAGGACCGGAGAAGTGAATTAGACTGAGTCATAAGAGGAGACCCCACCCCTGCATCCCTGAGATTTTGATGGTGGTACTAACATCTATATCTCTACACTCACAGAGTCAGTGATTCTCTTGAGCTGTGTGCTAAGGAGGCAGCTTCAGGTTTCTATCTGGCTTTCTCCATCTTTGTAGCTCTTACCTCATAGGCCAAGGAACCAATGCACAGGTTACTTGTGATGAGAGGCAAAGATGGGCAGACATTTATATAAAGCTTCGCACATGACTGGGCAGGACTAAACATATTAAAAGGGAACTCAGAAGAGGGAAGTCAGTGCACTGAGTAATAAAATAATTAAGAATTTTTACACTCAGAGATGACAGAGCACACAGGCAACAAGAAAAAAACACTATTGAAAGAACTTAAAGATTTTAAAAGAGGTGTGCTGACTAAAATGTTTCTGAGAAAGACTGAGTACCAAGGGGACTCTGAAGAAACATGCTTCCAGACCAAAGAGCCACGTGCTCGGCTCAATTAGTGAGAAAATGTCCATATCGAGGCATTATCTTAAAAGTTTCCAAAGATGAATAAGGACACTTACAAAGAAACAGTAAAGAGAGCATGAGAAAGTCCACTGTGGTGGGTACCATGTCCACGACTGCAGGGGGCTGATGTGTAACTAAGAACTCCACATCTCCCTACACTATTAACTGTGGGGCAGAACAAATCTGCAGCCTCAAAAATTTTCCTCCTGCATACTTTGTGTATGTGTGAACATGTGTGTGAGCATGTGTGTGTGTGCACACACACGTGTGTACACATGTCATGGCACATGTGGAAATAAGAGGTTAATTTGCAGGAGTCAGTTCTCCCCTTCTACCACGTGTGTCTCGGGGACTGAACCTGGGTCATCAGACTCGATGGCAGGCACCTTTACCCACTGAGCCGTCTTGATGGCTCACCACATACTATTTTAAGCAATTAACTGAAGACACAGACCTGCCAGAGAAGGGAGTAAACAGAGAGAAGGAGACCATGCGGATCAGGAAGTACGGAATCCAACATGGGAGGGGGTGAAGGGAAGTGTCAGGGGAGATCAGGGTCACCCCTGCATGAGGTGTTTGGGCAGCAGCCCAGAAGGGAGCAAGCCTGGAGATCCAGCTTTACTGGATGTAAAGAGGTCCAAACAGCAGGGTCGTAAGAGTAATAAGAACACAGTCTCAGGCTGTGAGACGGCTCCGCTGGGAAAGTGCTTGCTGGGCAAGCATGAGGTCCTGAGTCTGAGCCACAGCACCACATAAAAAGCTGGCTATGACAGTGCATTTGGAATTCCACACTGAGAAGGGAGAGGGAGCCAGATTTCTGGGGGCTCATCCCAGTGAGTGACTCAAAAAACAAGATGGGCAGCTCCTGGGGAACCATACCTCAGATTGACATGCGAGCCTCTACACACACACGCGCACGCACGCGCGCACACACACACACACACACACACACACACACACACACACACACACACACACACGAGCAACACGAGGACACATATAACACATATAGTCCTACTCCCCCTTAAAACAAACAAATGCACAACTCAGAGAAATAGAGGATAAATATTAACTCCAGGAATAAAACATTGAAGGGGAAAGAAATATAATCAGAGTATTAATATAAGGCTCAGTTGTGAAAAGATTTTATATGGTTCTGATGACATAAAATACAACACTGACTCTAACAGAGCCAGACTATAACTAAAGTGGGAGGGCAGGGAAGAGACAGTGCCAGTCACAGAGATGAGGGCTGGGTTTGTGGACGAGGAATACATCCACAGCTTATGTCCCAAACTGAAATGGGCCAACGAGATCTAAACACACTGCCCTGAGACATGGAAATGAACACCCAAGTAATTCATTAAAAGAACTGAATATCGGGCTGGTGGCAGAGCTCAGTGGTGGAACGCTTGCCTAGCATGCATAAGGCTCCAGTTCTATCCTGGCACCACCATTTAAAAAAAAAAGCAAAATCCAAAACAAACAACAGTAACAACAAAACTAAATTCAAAGTTCGCTTCTAACAGGAGACAGGACTAGGAGCAAGGAGAAGAAGGAGTCCAGTTTTCATAAATGTTGTGCAACTCTTCGATCCTTGATGGAAGCACAAATGCAAGCCGACCAATTGTTCGGCAAGTCACACTGCTCTGTCAAGAGGATCCCGACTTTGGAAACTGTTAGTTAGTGACAGATGTGTGCAGGCAGGCTGGCACGGGAGCAGGTGGACAGGGGAGCGAGCATCTGTACAAAGCTGGAGGGAGGAGCAGCCGTCTCCAGGGGCTGCTGGCCTGGTGGAGGCTTTCATTTTCCCACATTTTGTGAATTATCTAAAGTAAAAGTGGGAAGGATGAGGGATAAAACTTCACCTTTTGCCCTGCATCACTCTGAAAACTTCAAATAATTAAAAATTTTGTTTCTTGTGAAACCGTTTTTGTTTCTTCAAGACAGAGTCTTGCTACATGGCTTAAGCTATCCTTGAAATTATGACCGTCCTGTCTTAACATCCTGAGTTCTGGGATTACAGACGTGTGACAAATCAATTTAACAGCAAAATTGAAGGTATGTGTCTTTGTGTGAGGTGCTGTTTAGAAGAAGGGGTCAGCATTGCTTACACTGGACAGTTGGCATGCTGAGGCTAATGTCATCCAGTTTAATGTACCTGTACATTTGAAACCAACTGTGGTTTCAGTGCTGGTTGGTTTCAGCGTTGGTATATCAACATGCTAGCGATGATGTACCTGTGTGTTTGAAATGTCTTCTCAATGACAGCTCACACCTTTCCCAAGTAGACACAGATGTGAGTGTGTGAGGCAGAAGTGTACGAGGGATCCAGAAGGAACTGGTAAGATCTGGTGGAGGTGCAGGGTAGAGAACAAAGTGGTCACAGAACATTTTCTCAGGTTGTCATGGGTTCTAAACGCTGCGCTAAGCAAAACATAGACTTCTTTGGACTCTGTCTCACCAGCTTGTTGGCAGGAGTGCTGTCCCTGGGCTAAAGGACCAAATATCCCATGAAAAGGCAAGGACATGCCACAGTTTCATCAAGTCTCCAGGATCTGGGGGACATTCTTCCTGCCCTTACCTTTCTGGCTTCGAGGACAGAAACAAGTAAGGGAAAATATTTCCCCTTCAAAAATTAATACAGCTTGTGAATCTGGGAAATTATCACGAAGCATACATTTCATTAAAGATCTATTTAGAGGGCTGAGGACATAGCTTAGATTCGAACAGGATCATAGTTTCCATCCTCAGCATCACACGAGAGGCAATATATTTAAGAGACATTAAGAACGCCTTCTGGAAGGCAGGTGGGTGGAGAGATGGCTCAGAGATTAAGAGCAGTTAGTGCTCTTCCAAAGGACCATGTTTTGGTACCTGACACATGGCAGCTCATAACTATCTGTAACTCTAGTTCCAGGGGGTCTGATGATGCCTTTTCCTGGCCTCCATGCATGCATGTGGTACACCTACATAAATTCAGACAAAATATCCATACACATAAAAAAATGAGTATCTTTTTTATGAGGGAAGAAAACAGCATTGTACTTTATAAGCATCATATTGTTGGTGGAAAATTCAGTATCTTAAATAAAACTAAACTTCAGTTATTTAGAGGAATTTTCTAGAAATAGAATGATCCATTGGAAATTTTTTAGTTACTATTTTAAAAGTGAACTTTGCCATCATACTGTCTATCACTTGAAATGACCACTTGGTGGCAGCAAAGGCTACACTTTGAGTAACAACTTGGTTGTGGGAGTGCACAAGGGTATGAAACACTGAAACCCAACACAGGCCTTTGGACACAGTCTGCAGGGAGGATCAGGTCTCTGCTTCCGGGGTGGAAGGGCAGGGATGGGGGTACACCCTGGGAAGCTTCCATTCAGTGGCTTGTGCTAGACCCAGCTTTCTTGGCACTGAAACCTAACTGATCAGAAAGAACGCTGCCCAATGTTCTGTTTCAACAGGCTTCATTGTCTGTATCTCATGGTGGTTTCCCTGCAGAATGGGACTTCTCACTGTTGGAGCAAAGAGTCTAGAGACAGTCTAGGCAAAATCAGCATAGAAGCAATTCAGAGAACGCTGTGATATTCCCAGTAAAACCAGTTCTGATCTCTGCTCCTTGTCTCCTGTAACATGCTGAGTCTTTTTTAAATTATTTTTAGTGATACATGCATTTGGGGAGTTTGTACACGTGTGTGCAGGTTCCCCTGGAGGCCAGAAGTGGGCGTCAAATCCTCTGGAGCGGGCAGGTGTTAACTCTCTGACCTGGGTTCTGGGAACCAAACTCAGGTCCTCTGGAAGAGCAGCAAGTCCTCTCAACCTCTGAGCCAGGTCTCCAGTCCCAGGTATTTTAAAAACTATCATGATTCTCTGTTTATTCAGCAGTACACATTTTAAAAAACCAAAAGCTTATCAAAGCAGTTCAGAGCATCAACCACACTCTCTCTCTGGCCTTCACTTTCAAGTCTTGACACTGACAGCACCATTATGTTCTTTGGCCACTGGCATTCTCCTGCCCCGAATCTAACACGACTCAGGGGCATTGGTATTTTGGAGCCTTTTCCTATTCTTGCACTTTTTCTCTAAGTTTAAAGTTAACACAAAGTGAAAAGTTGAAACAGAAAACCAAAACTGTGGCTCCTATCTCTGTGTCTACAGTGGCTGAAGTACATGGGGCATGGGCAAAACAGAGCTGGTCTGCAGTGTTTTGAACAGTATGACTCCATAGCTGAACCTGGCTTTCCAAAGTATCAAATTTAAGGGAAAAAAAAGAAGTTCTTGGTGATGGGGAGATGGACTGATGAGTAAGAGTGGTTTTACACAAGCATGGGACCAGAGTTCAAATCCCCAGTGCCTGTGTAAAAGGCTCGACGTGGTTATACACAGAATGTAAACACAGTGCTGTGGGGCTGGGGAGAAGCGGAGCCAGGAGGATCACTGGGTTTGCTGGCCACCAGCCTCCCTCCAGGGAATAAGGCCAAGATTGAACATTTGATTGCTGGGGATGTCTTTCTGTATACTGTGAATGTGTTGCTCTGATTGACTGATAAATAAAATGCTTATTGACCAGTAACCAGGCAGGAAGTATAGTATAGGCGGGATAAACAGAGAGGAGAATTCTGGGGAAGTGGAAGGCTGAGTCAGAAGACACTGCCAGACACCGCCGCCATGAGAAGCAAGATGTAAGGATACTAGTAAGCTACGAGCCATTGTGGCAAGGTATAGATTTATAGAAATGGGTTAATTTAAGATATAAAAATTAGATAACAAGAAGCCTGCCACAGCCATACAGTTTATAAGCAATATAAGTCTCTGTGTGTTTACTTGGGTCTGAGCGGCTGCAGGAGTTGGGTGGACACAGGAAAACTCCAGTTACATTTGATAACCTCTCCTGGCCTCTAAACATATGTAAACAAGTGTGCACTCACACATGTAAACATGTACACACACACACACACACACACACACACACACACACACACACACTCTCATACACAAAAATACTAAGTTCTTTTATAACTAAATGACTATGACAATCAAATGATGATTATTTTTAAAATAAAGTTATTATGTGCTTACTTACTCTGTGAATTATACCAGCTGAATGCAGATGCTTAATGCCACAGAGCATCTGGTACAGAAGGTATGACATTCTTTCATGGTCCAGTTCCATATGAATAACCTGACATAAGTTAGCATCCATTAATTCCATAACCAAGTACCTAAATATTCAAAAGAGACAAACCACATTCATTAATATTATTTATATAACAATTACTTCATGATTGTTAGATCACAATTATTATGAAACAGTAGGATATAATTATAGCACAGCTAGAATAAAAACACAAGGTGTTTCCCTTTGTAAAATTTCCCAAAGAACACACAAAAAACTACTTACCCAGTGTCTTCCTTTCAAATTATAAACGAAGCAATTTTTACACCATGGAAACAATTTTATACAAACTCTTCTACTTTTCTTTTTCACTTGTCTGTCTGTCTATCCATCTCTCCATACCCACCTATCTTCCATTTGATCATTCTTCCATTCTCTATACTGTGCTCCTATAGACCCCTTGATCTTTAACAACACATGATTCTGACAGGACTGCTGATGGGAAGGTTCTACTATACAGGGGTAACACAGGGTTCAGAACTCTGAACTTTCTGCTCAGGTTCATTAGGTATCTGGACTGCTCGAAAAATGAAATCTTTTTTATTTGTTTTTTGAGACAGGGTTTCTCTGTGTAACCCTACCTATCCTGGAACTCACTCTGTAGACCAGGCTGGCCTCAAACTTAGAAATCTGCCTGCCTCTGCCTCCCGAGTGCTGGGATTAAAGGTATTCTCCACCATCGCCTGGCTGAAATCTATTCTTTAAGACTGAATACACAACAATGAACAGAAAACGTTCAATCTCACGGTCCACCGCCAGTGCATGTCTTGGCTCACTGGGGAAGCACAGCTGCCCCCACTCACCCCCCCCCACCGAGAAAGTGCTCAGACATATCGTCTCTACTTCTCTCCCACTGTCACGCCATTCTGACTTGGCCTGTGCCAATTCTCTGCTAAAACTGATGGCTTCTACATCTGCAGAGACCCCAACTACGTCTTCCTGCTGGAGTGGCTGTAATCAGATGCCAGCTCTCCTCTCACAACACTTTCTTGGTGACATCCAGTCTGCCATGCCTTTAAGGACCATTTACAGATTCTTTTGATTCCTTTCATCCAGGCCTCTCTTCTGAACCCCAGGTTCTTTCCTATCTACCTACTTCAGAGGTCCACTTGGATAGGCAATGGACACCTCCTGATTCTACCTGCTCCCCACCCATCTAGTCCTCTACAGCTCTCCTCACCTCAGTTGTGAGCCTGCGTGTGAGTCTTTCCAGTTCTCTCTCATAGTCAGCTATCAGCAGAGCCTACGCCTCCACACTCTAATATCTCTCCTGCCTAATCTCATGCCTTCACCCTCTTACCCACCTGAACCTCTCACATGAATTGCTGTGAGGCCTCCCCATACTAACTAGGTTTTTCTGTCCCTACCTCTCACAGTGGATTCTCAGCCCCCCACTCCCCAAAACTGTTCTTTTGTCAGGTGAGATCCCGGCTCTGCTGGAAATCTCATTCTGGCTCCTTCCTACCTGCACACCACTTCTCTAAGCCCACCCTGTCCTGTCTGCCCCCCACTCCAGCCACACAGGCCTCTTGTTGGTAGCAGCACACACCAGCCATGCTCCACTGCGGCTCCTTTGCTCTGGCTAGTCCTCCATTCTCAAGTCCACCTCAGCCCAGTACCTGTACGACAAACTCCTCTCCTTCCCTAAGCCTTTCTCCTAATGCCACTGCCCTTTCCTCCATCTACCCTGGGATGGTGAATTATAGAAGTCAACTTGACCAGGTCAGGATGCTGCACTGGTGAAGCCTCAGACTAAAAGCTACCCTGACATAGCCAGCGGCCCTGGTTCTGTGGCCCTGCACTTGGACTGAGCCTCCCTGGCAGCATCCTAGGGCCCTGAGCTTGCAAATGGCCTACTGTTTCATAAAAATCACTAACTTTCTAAATTTTAATCTGATGCAAAAGATACTTACACATCTTGAAATTCTTCTAGAGTTTTTTGTGGTGTGAACACATTTAACAAGCTAATTATCTGAAATGAGAAAATAAATTAATTATGCTTTAGTATGTCAGATAGATTATAAAAATTAGGTTGAACATTGAAATGTATTGAAGGTGAAAAAGTGATGGCAGAACTCAATATTTATCATTACTATGGCTGTCAGCAAACACTCTAGTGGATGGCATTGGAAAACTTAACCACCAATTGAAAGATGTACTTTTAACAGAATCACTCATGTCCCCAATAACTTAACCATTATCATAGAATTTACATATATATAAAAGAGTAAAAATAATGGCTGGAAACAGTAAATAAAGTACCATGCTAACTCTGGAAACTCAAATACTATATACAACTTTCTGGAAAGTTTTTAAGTTTTATGTTTTATGAGCTTATACTTTATGGTCAGGAAGAAGAGGCCTCATGGCCTGATGTTCCCTTAAGAGGGCTAAGGAGCAGACCTCACTGCTCGCTCCTTGTAGACTCGGTGCTTGCAAACCAAGTGTTTCAAGCACATACCCTCACTCATTTCACATGAACTAAAGAAAGGTGATTTACTCATCACACAGACAGGGGAAGGAAGGGAAAGAAAGCCAAATTCACCTTTCAGCCTTGGGAACAAAACAGAACAAAGTCTAAAACTCTAAGGTATAAAGCAAAGAATATGAGCAAGCATTTCTACTGTCCAGGTGTAATAAATCTTTTCTAAGCATGACAGGAAACCTAGGCTATCTAACTACATTGAAACAAAACCAGAATTAAACAAACAAACAAAAAATCAGCATGACCAAAGCAACATATGAAGTCAAATAGAAAAATGGAGGAGGGGACAGTTGAAGCTGGGCCTGGGTAACATGTCACATGTAATCTCAGCAGACATGCCATCATGCCCAGCTTCCACTATTTTCTTCCCATTTGTTCCATTCCAGGCAGGAGTTTGCAAGTTTGAGTCCAGCTACAGAGTTCAAGGCTACCCTGGGCTACATAGCAAAATCCAAGAATGAAAAAGCTTAATAATTGAATGTATAAAACTACCTATAAGTGAATTCAAAAGACACCAAACAGTTTAAGAGAAAAATAGAGCCATAGCCATGAAAAACCCAATTTTCAATGAAATAAAAATAGTTGGGGCTTGTGAGGTGGTTCAGCGAAGGTTCAGACTCCAGTGCCCACGTAAATGTCAGGGGGAATGGTGGCCCACTGTAATCTCAGAGCTCGGAGGATAGAACCCTGGGGCAGGGTGGCTAGCTAGATTGCCATCTTAGCAAGCTCTAGGTCCAAGTGAGACATCTTGCCTCAGTAGAGTAGGTGGAGAATGATTCATGAAGACACCTGACAACAATCTCACACACAGCAGATCTGCACACACAGGTGTGCCTATACACATGCAAATATGTACACACACACACACACACACACACACACTCACTCAATCAATCAATCCCATAAAAATATGGAAAGGAAATTCAACCTCACAGAATAAAATAAAATTAGTTTTCATATATCAGATTGGCCAAAAGAAAAACGAAACCAGTACTACCTAGCACTGGGGGAATCTGAAGTAAAACATGCTCTCAGAGGCTTTCCATCAAAGTCTAAACTGACAGTCTTCCTTGACGTCCATTTGTCAGCGTGTATAAAAGAGGGAATTGTACGGATTGTTTAACCAGCAATCGTGGCCAAGAGCTTACCTGGATATATATGCCAAGCAGTATGAATAAGGATATTCATTTCAGGGGGGAAAACAAACTAGAAATAATCTACCCAGCAACATGGTGTGTGTCTTAGTTTGCTTCCTACGGCTGCTATAAAACATTACAACCAAACCCGGGGAAGAGGGTTTATCTCAGCTTACAGTTTACAGTCTATCCTGAAGGGAACTCAGGGTAGGAACTCAAGGAAGGAACCTGGAGGCAGGAACTGAAGCTGAGGACATGGAGGAACACTGCTTATCGGCTTGTTTGACTTGCTTTTTTAAATACAGTCCAGGAGCATTGGGCCTTCCCACATCAATCATTAATCAAATGCCTCACAGACTTGCCTACAGGCCAATCTGATGACATATTCTCAATTGAGGTTCCTTTTCCCAGATGATGTTAGCCTGTGTCAAGGTGACAAAAATACCAACCAGCACAATTTGTTAACCAAATTATTATATATCTATATATGCAACCATTTAAAAATGTATTACAGCTGTATCCATTAAAGTATATGAAATCTACCAACCTTTACAGGGGTGGGCGGGAAGAAGAGCATAATTGATCTTGTTTATACATATATAAAGACACATATACAAGTATTCTCACTAAAATGCTCATGCTAGTGAACTGTGGCTGAAGGACCAGGGAGTTTTGCCTTCTAATATTATTTGAATTTTTAAAAATAATAAACACATATTTTTGTAAACTGACAAAAATCAAATAAGTAAAATAAACCATACATTGCATAAACTAAAACCAACTCAAACCACAGATCCAGATGAAGGCCAGGGAGATGGCTCAGTGGCAGAACACTTGCCTTGTGTATGTAAGGTCTTGGGTTCAATCCCCAGCTCCCCCCAAAATTAAAACAATGTGACAGAAGAATGAACTGGTCTTAGTTGCATACTTAATGTCATAATACAGAAAGATGTAGTACAGATGTTGAAACAAAGGAGAACATATAGTTTGGTATAATCCTAAATATTCTCCACTCATCTAAAACTGGAGAGAGATGTCATGAACTGATCATTCAAACCTCCTCTAGCGGCTGAAGAGAGGGTTCAGTGGGTAAAGGCAGTTGTCCCAAAGCCTGTAGATGACTGATCTTAGTTATATCCCAAGGTCCCACACGGTGGTAAAAAGGTAACTAATTCTAGCAAGTTGTCCTCTGATCTCTCAAGTGAGCACTGGCATCTCCCTCCCCCCAATACCTAGATGCAATAAAGAATATATTTTATCAACAAAATTTAAGCTTTTTTATAGTGTACTGGCTGGTTTTGTGTGTCAATTCAACACAAATTAGAGTCATCAGAAGAAGCCGCCTCAGTTGAAGAAATGCCTCCATGAGATCCAGCTGTAAGGCATTTTCTCATTTAGTGATCAGTGGGGGAGGGTCCAGCCCATGATGGTTGGTGCCATCCCTGGGCTGGCAGTTCTGGCTTCTATAAGATGGGCTGAGCAAACCATGGGAAGCAAGCCAGTAAGCCACCCCTCCATGACCTCTGCATCAGCTCCTGCCTCCAGGATCCTGTCCTGTTTGAGTTCCTGTCCTGACTTCCTTCAATGATGAACAGCAATGCTGAAGTGTAAGCCAAATAAACCCTTTCCTCCCCAACTTGCCTTTTGGTCATGGTGTTTCATCTCAGCAATAGAAACCCTAACTAAGACATACAGTTTGTCTCATCATTAGTTACTCTTTAGTCTGATCACACTAGTGACGTCAAAGCACACAGAAGGAGCACCTGTAACTTACATTTTTATGATTGACACACTTTAAGAGGACGAGTTCACGATAGGCTCTCTTTGCATGCGTCTGGTTCTGGAAAGGACGGCTTAACTTCTTGACAGCAACATTTATCCCAAGAACTGTATCAAAAGCAGCACTATAATTAGGAAATATAATAAACAGTCTATTAAAATGGCCTTTGAAAATAGCAACAGAGAATGACAGACAAAGAGAAATGTTTCCGTTCTTCCCCAGTCAAGTTTTATGTATCTATGTATGGAAAGTGGAGTGGCTGAACCGGCGAGACACACTAACCCCCATCCCAATCCCCTCAAAGGCACCAAGCCTTTCAGCTACAGTTCAAGTAGAATTCTGCAATTCTTTGTACATTGAATTTTCTGTTAGCTAAGATTACAGGTTCAGAAACAGGTAATTTAATCCAAAGCCTGTAACATAGGTCAAGGAATGAAATTTTCAGTTTCAACATGTCAAGAAATTGAAAACTTCCCTGTTATCACTGATTAAAATGTCAGTATATTTTGGAGTACCACAGCAGATTCTGTGGTTGAGCTCATGGAAGGAATTTAATAAATCTAAGTCTTGACTGATTATGCTCTCCCAGGCCAAAGAATCTAAAAAGAAACAGAAGCCCAAGTCTCAGCTCATGGTAAATTCCCAAGACACAAAGTCCCAGTGTAAGTACTTGCTATATATAAAGTTCTGCAGGAAACGCTCCTCCTTTTATAGGAAGAAGAAAACCCAATAAAGCTCCAGTTTCCAGCTCTCACATCCCTTCATGGAATTTAGTGTTAATTTTTCTCCGGAAATGGGACAGAGAAGTGAGTGGCTTGATGACACATGGTCAAGTTTCAAGTTAGCAGTACACAGTGTCATCAGTGAGAGGCCTTCTGATGGCCCAACAGGGGCTCAGGGCTGCTAGAGAGCCTGCGAGCCCAGACATCCCTTCCAGCCCTGCTTCTGGGTTTACGTTCTCTACTTTGTAATACTGTTTGCTCTTAATCCTTTCTGTTAATAATACTTTTTGCTGAACAACTCTAACTTAATTCAACCTGTTTTTAAGTTAAAAGCAGTGCATGGCGGAACTGGCCAAGGAGAGCCACTACATCTGTTACACTGATGTGTGTGTGTGTGTGTGTGTGTGTGTGTGTGTGTGTGTGTGTGTACACACTTGTATGTATGTATTGCTTAGATTCATCTTTCTGATCTCAAAAAGTTTTGTCTGAATTTTCAGACAAATAGGAGTTATGACTGAGTTCAAGGGCTCTACAGAATAATGTGGTATCTTCACTTAATAACATTACTATAATGTGTTTTTTTTTTCTTTACTTTCTTTTGTTTCAAGTCAAAGTCTCTCTGTGCAGTCCTGAAACTTGCTATGTAAATCACTCTGGCCCTGAACTCACAGAGATCCACCTCCCCCTGCCTCCAGAGTACTGGGACTAAAAGCATGCACTACCATACCCTACTGTATTCTTTAAAATTGAGAGTAAATGTTAAGTGTTCTCACTGCAGAAAACATGTGAGACATGTATATGTAAATTAGCTGAATTTAGCTATTCTATGTATATATATTTTGAAACACTATGTATATGTATGTGTATGTATGTATGTATGTATGTATATATGTATATATGTACTGACTAGTTTTTTGTTGTTGTTGTTGTTGGCCTGACATAAGATAGAGTCATTTTGGAAGAGGGAATCTCAATTGGAGAATGCCCCCTACAGACTGGCCTGTGGGGAATTTTCTTGATTAATGACTGATGTAGGAGGCCCAGCCCATTGTGGGTGGTACTACCCCTGCATGGTATAAGAAAACAAATTGAACAAGTCAGGGGAGGAGCAAGCCAGTAAGCAGCACTCTCCATGGCCTCTGCTTCAGTTCCCGTCTCTAGGTTCCTGTCTTGACTTCTCTGGATGATGAACTACAAGCTCTAAGATGAAATAAACCCTTCTTCCTCTATGTTGTTTTTGGTCATGGTGTTTTATCACAGCAATAGAAACCTATCTAAATAAAATAAACATATGTGTATGTCAATTAATCTTTTTGGATGTATAAAACGTGTCAAATGAACTAATTCTAAGCACTTGGAGACAGGCCTTTCCACTCCTGTTCCAGCTCTAGGGACAAGGACCTGTAGCTATCCATGTTTTCTGTCCTTGTGATCACCTTTTAACTAAAAGGTGCAGACACTTCCTAGTATGAAGTACGGAGGGTGTAGTTCCTTACTTGGCACCTCCAACCCCTCCCAGCTTTGTTCTAATGGTATGTCGGGGTTTTATCTGTAAGTGGGTTCAACGGACCTTATCTTGCTCTTCCCCCACAACATAAGGTGACTATTATGCTCCACCCTGCTCTCTTCTATTTCTACCTTCCTCCCTCTTTCCTCCAAACCTTTGTCGTAAACACTCAAGCTTGCTAGCATCTTCATTTTAAACTGACAGCTAAGCCTCTGTGCTGCTTCTCCCAGCTGTCTACAAACACTGACAACCAACAGGAAAGTACACGTACACATGCACATATTACTAGTTGTAGAGCTGGGATTATGCTTCATTTTCCAAAGATCACGTCTATCAGCCACTTGAACACCCTGCCCTTCTGTTTTCTATGTAGACCATGCCTCTTTCTATACTTCCTTCCACAAGTTTCTAATAAACACCTTTTTCCTAAAAGGAGAAAACCTCATCTCCCAAAGCACCGTGCCTTCCCACTCAGACATCTATGCTTGGAATTGATCCATCCTTTCTTTGAAGGCATCTCAAAGCCTGCTTCACAGAACTTATCCTGGGATTCCACTTCTGGCCTCTTGTATTTACTGCCTTCTTATATTACATGTTCTCTTGTTGTCTTGATTTTTGAAGTGAATCCTTAAAGAATGTCTCCAGACAACATACGCTGAAGACAAATGATCTTACTCTGTCCTCATCTTGGACTGGCAATCTGTCTTTTAAGCTGAAAATCAATTTCCCTCAGAACTTAAGTTAAGGCCGGTTCTTTCCAGCTTTGAGTGCTGTTGGTGAGGGAGGCTTTCATCTGACAGTCACTCCTTTGCTTTGTTTTGTTTTTTGTTCCTCTGCTCAATGATGTATCACAAAGAGCCACGCTCTGTTGCTGCCCCCAAAAGTCCCCTTAACAACCCTTCCCAATTGTTATCATTTTTGCCCACCAAAGAAGAAAACAGCTTCCAAGGTTTTTATTTATTTATTTTTATTATCAATTTTTTTGGTATTTTGAGACAGGGCCTCTCTACATAGTCCTGGCTGTCCTGGAACTCACTGTGTAGACCCGTTTTTCTGGTCTCGAACTCAAGAGATCCTCCTGCCTCTGCCTCCCAAGTGCTGGAATTAAAGGCGTGCACCACCAAGCCTGGCCTAACTTCAGACTTTTATGACAATCACTTTCTTGCTTTCACAAACTCAACATGTGCCCTTATATACAACTCTATCACTCATTTTTCCCGGTTTTTTTTTTAGAAGTCTTTGACTTTTCACTCAACACTGTATTTATGACTCACCCACTAGTCTGAGTACTAGTTTACTAGCTAGCAGTTTACTGTCGTTGCTACAATATTCCTTTGTGTGACTGTCACATGACACTGATTGCTACTTTAGTTATTTTCAGTTTTCAAGTGATGGTAAGAAGCACCGCCATCGGCGTTCATGTGCGTGGCTCCACGCCTCCAAGCATGCATCTCTGACAGGCACATAGCCAAGTGGGAATGCAGAGAGTCTACTTTAGTGGACGAAGCCAGACTGTCTTGTAGTAACTGCTTATGGAGCAATGAAAGATGAACACTCCTCTCTTCTGTATCCTACTCTGGTCTCTGAGGCTTCGTTCCGGGTATTTTCTGCGGATGCATCTTCCGCACGACCATTCTCTCTTCAGTCACATCTCCTATCTGCAAGCACTTTCTGTGACTTTGTAATTCAATCACCACGGCTTTCACTTTCACTTCTATCATTTCCACCTAGTTCTCTTCTGAAGTTCTTGTTTTTCCACTCAAGTTTTCACCTTGTCTTTTATCATCTTGAACGCATCACCACAGCTATTTAAAATTTTAGATCTAATGATGCTGGGATCCCCTGTTGAACTGACCCTTTTGTCTTATCTCCTTGTATCTAGCCATATTGTATTGTGTTAAGACCTTGCTTTTATAAAGCTGCTGTAGAAACTATCTGAAATCCAGGGTAATGCTACCCTCTTTCAGAATTTACATTTGATCTACTGGGCACATGGGAGCACTAACAGTGTAGACTCACCTCTAACATGTCAACAAGTGCATGATGACCGATGCTGAGTGGCAGGGCCTCACTCAAGTTAACCCCATTACTTCTAGGGTGTGGCCTTTCAACAGCCCCAAAACAAAGCCAAGGAAGTTTTCCAGGCCCTGTTAGAAAGTCTCAGGATCTAATTCCTACTCTCGAGCCACACGGACAGTTCCAGCAGTCCCTTTCAGAATTTAAATGATCCCAAGAAACAGCCCCAAATGTTGGGCTTCCTATACTAGCCCGACTGATGTGACACTGACTTCAGGAACTTACTAGCTCTCTAAGGGCAGATGCTGAGCATGGAGGGCAGTGTGGGAATGCTGGCGGCAAACGGGAACCTGTGTCATAGATGTGTTTTAACATCCAGGTTTTAGCCTCTTCCCCATTGTGGTCTCTACTGACAGTTCCTTGGAGTTCTGTGGTAGAAAGGCTCCCTTTCTGGTTACAATCAACCCTCTACTTACTCTCACCCCTCTGCCGTGCCATCTGGATCAAGACCCCCAACTTATTTTATGTTGCAGAAATTTATTACAACTTTTTTTGCTCACTGATTATTGTCATTCTCTTTTGTTTGGCTCTTTGATTTACCATCTTAAGTCTGAAGTCTCAATGAAGACTTCACTCATGAACACATAGTGAGCTGCCCAAGGTCACAAAGAACTTTAGCTGAGGATCTGCACTGGGCTCAGAACCCAAGTCTCCTATCTCACAGCCATTCTGTGCACCACACTAAGAACCTCCTTACCAAAAACATGTTATTCTGGACATTATTTATGGTTTGTTTATATTAATAGAGGTAAATAAGACAATTTAAAGACAGAGGAGTGTTCATGCTTACAGAAAGCTAGAAGGGAAGCATGCAAGATCTACTATACTAATTATTTTGCATTAAGGTTCTAACTGTTACTCCTGGGAACTGCCAGGCCCAATATTAAAAACTTAAGGAAAGGGGTTAAGCATGTCATAGGACCAAAGGTTTACATTTTGGGCTGAACAACTTAGATTTTAGAAGGAGAAAGGAAAAGCATACACTTGAGTCAATGATAACTTTAAAAACTTATTTCCTAGTAAGTTTTTCTGTCCTCTACTAAGGAACAAAAACGCAGAAACAAATCAAGTACGGCAACAACTGTCAAGACAATTTGGAACAGGGAGGAGTGTTTGGGAAGGCGCTCACAGCAGAGGCCCGCCCAGAACATCTGGAGCCGAGTCTGATGCTTAGCACTGCAGACAACAGCGAAATAAAATCAGGGGTCAGAATATTTTATCCTGGCTCCAGCTCTTACACTTAACTCTGTGGGTCACTGTGGTTCCCGTGCACACCTGGTCATGTGTTTACAATGGTCTAGTTAACAAAACTAGCTGGTTTAGAAACCACAGAGTGGTGCTAACACATTTTATGTCTCAAAACTGTAAAAATACACTTGTGTCTACATTAGCTCCCAATGCTATTCTTGTGGCTACCGAACGGCCACAAATTATTGATTTAAAACAACACAAATTTATTATCTTACACTTCTGGACTTCAGAAGTCCAAAATTAGTGCTAAGGGGCCAACATTAAGGTCAAGGGGCTGTGATCCTCATGGATGCTCTGGGAAGAATCCATTCCGTTCCTTTTTTCCAGCTTCTAGAAGCTTCCTGCATTCCTGTCCCACAGCACTCCACACTCTGTGATCACATTTCCTTCTCTGACCAGGATATTCCGGACTTCCTTTTGTAAGAGCAACTTCGATTACACTGGCTCACCAATGCTCCCACCTCAAGATCACTGATTTGTTGCTTTGTTTTTCAGATGGGGTCTCACTCTGTAGCCCAGGAAGGCCTTGAACTCACTATGTGGCCAAGCCTGACCTGCTGCCACTTACAGTAATCCTTCTGCTTCCAGGACTTGAATGCTAAGATCACTCATTTGATCAAGTCTGCAAAGTTCATTCTGTCCTGTAAGGTCACACTCACAGGATTCCAGGGTTAGGACATGGCTATTTCTGAAGAGGCATTACTATGCCCATTGCACCCTCAAAGGTTTATTGATGGACATTTCTAAAGTACAAGCTCAATGCTAACAAGAAGTTGTTCTAGACCATTAACTAACAGCAAAATGGCTAGACCTTAATGAGAAGGGTAGAAAACCCAGTTCTATTGTCAAGGTAGCAGCTCACCCATTGCTGAGATCATTTCAGCAAAAGTAAACCTTTTGTTCTGCTTTAATAGGAACATGCCACTACCTGACCGTTCCCTATCCGATCTGAAACCATACAGCTAGGCAGGATAAAAAAAGAGGAAGTGGAGGGCAGGAACAATCACTTCTGAAGGTTTTACTTTCCTATATAAGAACATAGGTGGGAGGATATTATAAAACTGTCAGTTACAGTTACAAAATTAAAGTGTATGTACATATGCACATGTTTACATGGGTGTGTATATATATATATGTATATATGCACGTGTATATGTATGTATATGTGTACATAGGTATATCTGTGTATATATGAATATGTATACATGTATATATACATACATATGTATGTACACATGGGTATATGTATACATGCATGTGTGTATGTATATATGTAAATATGTATGTATGCATGCACATGTATGGATGTTTTGGTGCTGGTAAGAAATCCAGGTACTTCCATACACTAGGCAAGTGCTCTACTGATGAGCTTCCTCTCTAGCCCTCAACAGTTCTTGGATGTAATCGTCCTACAAAGATGAATATAATTTATTAAGAATTTCAAAAGAGATATTTAAAGAATATTGATTTGTTCATTATTATGAAGATTTTAAACAGAGATTAGGTCAGAGTCCTGGTCATACAAAAAGGGTCAGTGACTCAAGTCATCAAGTTTTAACTAAGTGTAATAAGGTCCCAAAAGACCAACAGGTGGTTTAGACCCAGATCTACTCCGAACCCATGGAACAGATAAAGTCAATGAGCTAGTCCTCAACTGTACCACACATACAGAGACGGTCATGGCAGATCTCGTTATATAATATATACTATTGACTTTACTTTTAATCTTCAAAAACAAGTCAATGATGGGCCGGCCAAGTGGGATAAATGAAGCCCATATTTATTATGGAATGCTCTGTCCACCCTATAAAGGAAACTCCCCAAGATAATTCACATTCCCCCTTCTTCCATCCTCTCATCAAATCACGCTCTAATTTCAAATAAGAAAGAATTTACAGCTCAGGTAAACACTCATGACTTTATTACCACCCACGTTTCCTTACCTGAGGCAGCCACTGACTTTAAAACCTTTCTTGTCACAAAGGGTTTAAGTCTGGTTTGATCATCTCCAGAGTAAATTCAAAATCTTTGAGCATTGCCATGGTGCTCAGACTGCTGGATTTTAGAACATTTCAGATTTTGCGATTAGAGATGCCCACCAGTGAATACAAATATTGAAAAATGTGACAAGAATCTAAACTCTGAAATACTTCTGCTTCCGAGCCGTTCAGATAACTTAGAAGTTAAGGCCCACTGTGCGCAGCTGGCACTCCTTCAGGCAGCACCTGTTCCCTCCCCAGTCTCTCTCTGAGCACCCGGGGCCCTGACCAGAGTCTCTGCAGCAGAGGATCAGCTGAAGCCCACTGATGATGCAACACTCAGCGTCTTCACAGGAAAAACCAAAACCCTCCTCCCAGAATGCCCAGGAAAGGCCTTTTATTTTCAATCCTCTTTGCCTACCAGCTGTAAACATTAAATGTTTTATCTTAGCACAATTTCTTTTAAAGACAAATATAGTCTTATTGATCAGTGAGGGGGGTAAAAAAAAAGCTTTGTCCAGAAAACTACAGTCTAACATGTTTGAGAGGTGCTGATAACGGTAGTCTAGAAAACACGTGAGAAACGTTACCTTTGTCTGGCCAGTGACGTCGCAGCCGCTGACTGTCTTACCATGCAAGAGCCTAAGGTTCAGGGTCAGACTAATGGTTCTGACGTCCTGGGCTGGACACAGAGTTGAAGAGAGACACCAAAGAAGAGACGGCCAGCCCAACCCCTCACACAGCAGCCCTTCCTGGTTAATCCATGGTGTGATAATGACACTGCCTGGCCTCATCCTGCCAATGAATGGCAAGGCACTGCAATGGTGGCGCCTGGAAATGAATAGGAGTGATTGGGAATAAAAGGAGGAGGGGGGAGAAGGTGGCCATGATGAAGAAATGAATAAAACGCCAAATCCCTGTTACACCTCACTGTCATACCAATTATTCTGATATCATAATGACAGGGCAAATGGAAAGAAAAGAAACTAATAAATAAACAAATAAAACCAACAACAAAGCAAAAGAAAAATTGAGTTTGTATCCTATAAATGACTGTCTATAACTACTGCAAGGACCGATTTAGCTTAGCTCAAAATCTAATCTACAACAGGGGGTATTTTTTTTTAATCAGTGCTTCTAAACTCAGATTTAGTTTTACTTTTTCCTAAAGACGTAGTCTATGCTATTAGAACGCCAGACTTACCAAACAATCCCCTGGGCTCCAGAGCCGATTGGCTTCAGTTGCTGGTAACGCTTCAGGACAGTGAACGTCGAGTCCGCCACCTGCACGCTGTAAAACTGACCATCGCTTTTACTGTCACTCATGATGCAGTGTCATGCGGGGTTCCGGCGAGCGGGCACCTCCGTCAGATCCCTGGACAGAGAAACAGAGTGACCTGATGATGCACTTACCAAATCGTACACATGGAGCCCCGTCCACAGTGGTTCCGATCTGCGGGGATATAAAGGTATGGCTATGAGATAGGAAAATCAGCTTGGCCAGGCTCTCAATTTAAGCAAGGGGCACAAACCACAAAAAAAAAAAAAAAAAAAAAAAGATTTCAGTGGTGAAAGTCCATCAACAGAAGGAATTAAGGAATTAAAACAAAATTTTTCTAACATTTATTTATTTTATGTATCTGGGTGCTTTGTCTGCATGCATGTATGTGTGTGCCTGGACAGCTGTGAGCTGTCATGTGGGTGCTGGGAATGGAACCTGGGTCCTCTGGGAGAGCAGTCAGAGCTCTTAAATGTTGAGCACCTCTCTAGCCCTGAAAAGAAGGAATTTCGAGATGCAGAAGACCACATTTTTAAAGGACTGTACTATAATAAACTATCTTGGGGCAGGGGTGCAGGTCAGTAGCATACACAAGGCTGTGAGTTCACCTGAAAAATGGGTGGGGGTGAGGATGGTGAAAGACTCACCTCTGGAGAAAAGAATTTATTACCAGCCATGGTAAGCCCACTGTGTCACTAATGTGTCTCACCCACTTCCTTCTTGTGGGACCAGCTTATGTCTAGCAGTCACAGGTACAGATGGGAGCATTAGTTCAGAATGACTGATTCTAAAGTTCCTGGAGACACCACGTACTAGTCATCTAAGTGCATGAACTCAGGCTAACGTGATGAACCTCAAAGCAACAGGCTGTTAGGAGGATTAGGGACACTGGTATGAGGCGTGCACCCCAGCGATGGGCCTGTTTTATGAAGGTGGAGCCAGAGCTTGCCTTCATTCCCTGCACCCCAAACACAGCTATAGCGCACAGTAAGACAATCATCTACACTCTAAGTATATCCACAACTATACAAATATACAGTGGCTTCGGAAAGTAGTTTCCTTGTGCTTTGGGCAGCCGGCTGATTCCCAGTTTGGCTGGAGTGTGAAATGTCCTCCGTAGCCTTGTGTTTAAACACTTGGTCCTCAGGAGGTGGTGCTGTTTGGGGAAGTTGTAGGACCTTTAGGAGGTGCAGCTTGGCTGGACAAAGAGGGCTGCAAGAGGACAGCATGGAGGGAAACAGTCTCACTGTTTCCAGCACAAAGTGCTCCCTGGTCTGGGGAGACTGAGGAATCCCAGCAGCAGGCTCCCACCACTGTGTACTCCATCAGGGAGGGCTGCACCTTGTAAGCCATGAGCCAGAATGACTCCTTTCTCCCCTAAACTGCTGTCATGCATTCCATCACACATCACAGTGGCTGAAAAGGGGAGAAATGTGACTGATATGCTCACCCTGGGAAAGGTTGGATGATGTTAACTGAAAAATACGTGAGTTACGAGTTTGGCCTTTTAACTTAAGATGCCAACAACAAAGTCACAGAGGTAAACATTCCATGAACAATTTTTTTCTACAGCTCCACCGAACCCCTGCCTTTCTGATCCACCATCTGATATCTAATGGCCACCTGGTGAGTTTTCCGCAAGGAGAACTTTCTTCTCAACACAGCGGTGCCTAGAATTTCCCTTGAACATGGAAATAAGTTCGTAAAGGCTGAAACAAAGGCTCAAGGGCAAACGAGCAATGGAAGCAACATGCTAGAAACAGTTGAGCCGCCCACCAGCCGAATCACTGAGTGACCTTGTGGCGCAAAGTCACCCCCATTTCTAGACCACCTGCCCCTGCCGTGACTGGCACAAATCTCAATCTTCTCTGGCAACCCTCTTTCTTCAGCTGCTCACATCCCACAGCTGGACTAGTATAATACAAGGCTAACTTCTTGGAACTTGGGGACTAGAGCTAATCAGACTAGGCTCAGGAATTATTAACATAATTTCACCCCAATATTTAAAATCATTCTAAAATTAAGATAAAGTGCTCTTGTTAGCTAAGGAAAAAAATCATCTAAGAACAAACCTTTCAAAGCCACTCCTCCTGTTCTATTTGGGCTGCATGAGAAGAAGACCAAGACCACCCCACACAGACACACAAAAGACAACCTGGGAAAACATGTAACTTAGGCACTAATGGATCTATTCAGTTGGAATGACATTTTAAGTAAAAGGTCCATAAACCAGGGCTCAGGAAAACCATTTTGCAAGTGGGGAAGTACAAGCATTCCTCAAGCAACCACATTAGCCACACAACCAAACCTGGATGTACTGCCTCTGCCATGCCACCAGCATGGGTCCAACACAGTCTTCATCCATGCCATGTCTACAGTCTTGGCAGCTCGCTGAGCTGGGGCTATAAAGGCTTTTATAGGTCTGTCTTTCCCTGGGCCATGAGCTTCTTCTCAAAAAGTAGGGAGGTAGGAGCTGGGCAGGTAACTCAGTGGTAGAGTGCTTGCCTGGCATAAGGCCCTGGATTCATTCCAGAAGGGGTGGGGGAAGAGCACAAGAGCAAGGAGTGAGTAGAACAGTACAGACGGTCATGAAGGAATGTTCACAAAGGCAAGACCTATCCTCAAGTTTGCTCACAAAACTGTGGACCTGAGTATTGTTGAGAACTGTAAGGTGGTAAATCATGCAAGCAATAGCTGCTAATGATGTGCATGCATGTGAATCCTAACCCAGCAATTGCCAGTCTAGAAATGCACAGGGCGATTATGTGTTCAATACTCAAAGATATCTGTCCAAGAACAGAGCACATCTAACCAGCAAGACTATGAACAACTCAAAACATAAAGTACAATGAAGGCATTAAACAGAATTCAGGGACTGTGTGTACTAGCTTGTAAAGATAGCTAAAATACACAAAGGAAATAAAGCAAGTTGAATTAGAGTTCACATAATGCCAATTTGTGTGCACTGAGTATAAACACACAACACATACACACATGTAAGCACACAGTGTGTGTGTACAAATTCTCTCTGTCTCTCTGTCTCTCTCTGTCTCTGTCTCTCTGTGTCTCTCTCTGTCTCTGTCTCTCTCTCCACAGACTGTATACCAGCAAGAACAGAGAAATAAATAAATGGGATATGAGAAATGTTCCCATTAGAACTTTCTGTTCTGTTTTAACCACATAGGTTTATATTTTAAAAAAACTAATCAAAATTTTAAAAAGAAAATGAAAAGCTACAAAACGACCTTGTGACAGCTGCAGGGAGGGTGTGGTGTGCTGGAGACCGATGACACTGGAGTGGGGAGAACAGCTCAGGCTGAGAGACACGTGTACAAACCCCTTCAAGCGACCTGGGAGGGTGGGTGCACTGCCGTCCTGACAGTCACGGAGGAAGCTGAGGTTTCTGGACAGTAAGGAGCTGCCCAAATTCTCAGTGTGGCCCAGAACTGAAATGAGGTGTGTCTGACCACAGCGCCCTCCTTCCTCCTAGCACACCAGTCCTACATCTCTAATTAACGCAGGGCAGAAAGCCATGAGTCCAAGGGCTGGGCAGCACCATGCCAGAGCAACATGGGCTTCCCTCCCCAACACACTTTTCTCTGAAGAAGACTGAGTGATTCATACTCAATTAACCCCTTAATTACACTGAAGTTTCAGAATGCCCAAGACCTGCACTATTGGACCCGTTGCTATGGCTAAAAGCAGATTCTTAGTCACCCTGTTTCAAAACACACTCTACATTTTTTTCACAAAGCTCTTCACTGGCCTATGCTAATCCTCATGGGAAAAAAAACAACAAACAAACAAACAAAAATGTAGCTTATGGTAATTTAAACCGCCCCCATGCTGGGGACAGAGCTGGAAGACTCACATGCTAGGAGCGCTCTACCACTGAGTGACATCCCCATCGCCAACTCCTGATCTGATGCTGCACTATAGTTAGGCAGACATGCAACCATTTCATCTCAAGAACATCACAGCCTTGCAGGGCCTCCCTTCTGAATTTCTGTTATACACACACACACACACACACACACACACACACACACTCAATACAGGACATGGTGCTCAGAGCAACTTTGTCACAGATCAAAACTAGAAACAGTGCAAATATCCATGGCCACATATCTAGAATACTAGCCAGCACTGAAAAGAACCACACTGCTGACTGGGTAGATCTCAAATGCATTACACAGTTGGTCTCCATATTCATGGATTCTGAACTTTTAAATTCAACCAACCACAGGTAGAAAAGATTTGATAAGATCAATTGTACAGTAGGTAGAACAAGACATTTTATGTGCCACTGCACAGTAGTGTAACTACAAATCACATTAATATACTGCACACTTCGCATAGCTAAGAGATTTGAAAGTTTTTATGACACGAAATGATAGATGCTCAATGATCTAGATGCGATTTGACCTAATTTAAACACTACATGTATCAAAACATCACATAGTGCCCCACTAACAGGCATAATTTTTATGTTTTCATGTATCAATTAAAATCATCATAAATTAAGTGACATTTGAGGGAAATTATATCTGTATGGAATGTATACAGCACATTTTTCTTGTCATTTCCCTCAAATCATATAATACAATAACTTCATAGTATTTGCTTTATATTATAAATACTCTAGAGATGGTAGAAGACATATGGGAGAATGTGCACTAATACTGCACCATTTTATATGACTTGAACACCCATAGGCTGTGGCATCCATCTGGGAATTCTGGATCCAGTCTTCCTGAGGATGCTGGGAGACAGCTGTCCTTCCTGAAGTAAGTGACCCTTGAAAGGTCACCTTATAAGCCCATAAGGATTCTTCAAATGACAAAACTGCAGACATATAAAACAGATCTCAGTTGCCAGGGGTTATGCTCAGTGGGGGCTGGTGAGTGAGGCAGCCACATAGGGGCTACAGGAGACCTTGGGGATGCTAAAAAGGCTCTGTATGTATCCTGTGGTGGCACTGGCGGTTCAGGAACCTGCATGTGATAAAATGACACTGAACTACACGCACACCATAGCAATGCCACCTTCCAGTTATGGTACTATAGTGGAGTTATGTAAATATACAATCAATGGAGAAAACTGGGTGAAAGGTAGGTGGGATTTTGCAGCTTCTTGTAGATCTATAATAGTTTCACAGTAAGGGATTTAAAAAGAGAGACTGTTGGAAACACACAGCAATCCCACCCTTCTTTCTGAATTCTTCTGATAGTGCCTGTGAAAGCTTGATTCAAGTCCTCAGCATTAGAGCAGACTGCAAGCCCTCTGGCCTGTTCTTGGAGACCAGACACACCAGGTGACTGCACACCCGCAGGCCTCTGCCCAGCAGCTCCATCGGCCTAAGCTGACTTCTCTGTCCCTTCTGCTCTTCTGGCCAGCATTCACCCTCCTTCAAAACCTAGTTCAAGCCCCTGCTTCTCATGCAACCTTTCCTACTCGGCCTTTCCCAGTAAACAGCACCAAAGGCTCCTTTCATTTTGTGTGGAAAGTCCATCAGTTCTACCCCAAGTCCCTCAGTGGTGGAGGCTGTACTGGCTATTTCTGAACCCTGGTCCATTATACAGCTCAAGCAATACCACTCAAAAGCAAAGCCAAGTAAAAGGATAAATGTGGGAAGGCAGTGTGGAACAGGTTAAGGTCAGGTCTCAAGTCAGTCTCATGGTGGGCCAGTCACTCATCCAGGGCCACATGACTACCAGATGAGCACAGAACCTCAGGACACCTCTCGATGTGAGTTCAGCTGACCTGAGAAGGCACTGTGACCTGAGTCCACCCTCAATCTGAGTGACTGTCATCTACATTCAACGACTACTTCTCAGGAACTAGAAATACTATGTTATACCACAGAGACAGCATCAGTGAACTCCAACCATGCAGGTGCTCCAGAACCACCAGCTGCATCCACACGTAAACTACAAGGAAAGCAAGAGAAGCAGGGGGACAGTAACAAACTGAAGGAACTTCGCCGAGTGTGCTGGCTTCTGCCTGCAATTCTAGCACACTCGGAGCTGAGACAGGAAGACAGCCATGGGTTTAAGGCCAGCCTGGGCTACATAGTGAGTCTGAGGTCACCCTGGGCTACAATGTGAGATCATGTCTGAAAGAATAATAATAATAATAATAATAATAATAATAATAATAATAATAAGCTGGGCAGTGGTGGCGCACGCCTTTAATCCCAGCACTTGTGAGGGAGAGGCAGATGGATCTCTGTATGAGTTCAAGGCCAGCCTGGGCTACAGAGTGAGTTCCAGGAAAGGCGCAAAGCTACACAGAGAAACCCTCTCTCAAAAAACAAAACAAATAATAATAATAATAATCAACCAAAAACCAAAAGCCAACAGAGAAAGAGAGAGAATCAAAAAGACATCAACCAATAATCAACAACATAGTCTTGGTTCTCCTTTCAAATGATTACAGAAACTATAAAATACATGAGTCAACTTGAATATTGAATTCCACACCGTGAATGAATATTTATTCAACAACTGGAATAAAATACATGAGGCAATCTGAATACTGACCGGTCACTTGATGCTATGAAAGAATTATTGCTTTTAAAAGGGAAAGAGAGCCCCTGTCTTTTAGAGAAATGTACTGAGAAGTTCGCAGTGATATTTAGGTCCTGCTTTAGAATCTATTCCTTACACTTTGAGTAAAGTTTATGCACTTCGAGATCCGGGATAAAGCAAGACTGCCAGAGTTCAAACCTGTGGATGTCGATACTAAGCTGTTTATTCCTGAACATACTTGAAAGTCCCCATCGTAAACAATTAAAATAGCAGATTACTGTTGAAATCAATTCACAGAGAGGTCAAATGCAAATCATTGAGAATTTTTAAAAATAAAATTACCACCTTCCTAGCCAGGTGTGAAAGCTGATTTCATAATTAGACAAAAACAGCAGCCCTCCTGACAAATCGAGGGTCTCCTTTAAAAATCTGGTTTTTGTTTTATATTATAATTTTTAAAAAATTGGCTCACTCATAAGTAATTGCTTTTTGGCATTTTTCTTTATGCAGAACGTTAAGTTTTTTTTTTTTTTTTCATTTGAAACTGACATATTCAAGTATACCCTTGACCGTTTATTTAAGGGACGGAGCAAAGAAAGCCATTTTCATGTGTTAACAAGTTATTATAAAGTCCTGGCACCTTGCAAATTAAAACCTCAGGAAAACCAAAGCTCTCTGGAGATTATGCCCCCAAAAAAGACAATTATTTTTAACCATGCAGGACTCTTATGAAAGGGAGGGGGAAACATTTATAGATTGGCTATTGTTCTTCCAGCACAAACTGAAAGCCAAACACAAATAGAGCTGAGGACTGTAGATTTCGGGGTGATCTGGGTTCAGGTGACTGCTTGTGCTGAAGCAGACGGCTGAAGCCCTGGGAGACCCCGTTTCTTCCTCTCCGAAACCTGCTTTCATAGCTGCCAGTTTGTTCACAGAGTGCCAGTTGCGCTCAAATGAGTCCTGGCTGGTATCTGGGAGAAGAGGGCCTAGCTCTTCTGGCCTCGGGCTACTGTTCCTGCTCCACACTGCTTCTCCCTCCCACACAGCCTGCTCAGGAGGTTAGCGGTGCTGCAGGAGGTCCGCATTTGGCTTGGCACCAAATACCTAGTTTTAATTAGCTATTGCCAACATTGAAAAATCAGAGTCCAAATACAAACTTGGAATCCTAGCTTTTACAAAAACTGCTGAGAGTTCTGGAACTTGGGGGGGGGGGGCAGGGGTCTCTACCACTCCACAACCCCACACTTGCTCTGGAGGGTGAAGTTCCTTGCTGATCTTGTCCTTTAATTTTCTGTGTCTGTCCCTGCTCAAGGCTCACCAGCACCCCCACTCCATGTCCTCCATTTCTAGGGCACAGACCCTTCACTACAGCGGGTGACACAGCCTGTCCTAGAACTGTGTGCATGCCAGCCTGCTCTACGAGGCTCCTGGGCTCTCTGGGGGAAGGTACCCTGTTGCTATCTCTTTTGTGTCCCTAGAGCCCGGGAGAAAGCATGACCTAGATAATGCAGAATTCAGTAGATAACTCCTGAATGTGTGGGAGGAGGCTCAAGCAAAAACTCTTCCCCAAATACAAAAATGTTTATCATAAATTGTTCTAACGGCTACTAGACAGAGATTAAAAAAAAAAAATTTTAAAAATTTCACCAAATGAGAATAAGAGTCTGTTTGCTTACAAGTTTCACAAGTTAAAAGTCATCAACACAAACGAAGCGGAGACAACAGGTAGGCAGGGAAGACGGTCTTGCAGCTCGCTCACTGAGCTGACACTACTGAAGATACCAGCCAACTATCCGTCTTCGCAGGGCTACAGGGCAATAAATCAGACAGCAGCAAACCAGAGTGGGTGCTAGAAGGAAAATCAAAGAAACGACGGATCAACTAGAATGACTAAGCCAGGGAAAAGGGTGGTCAAGGCAGGCCTCACCAAAAACAAGCCGCTGAGCCACAGGAGGGAGCCCTATGAGAGTGACAACGGAGTATATATATATATAAAAAAAATCTTACGGACGACTCCTAACATGGAGAACTGGAAGTGCAAAGGTCCTGAGGTAAATAAACGCTTTGGGCACGTCCAAGGCAGGTGAGGAGAGTAGGACGCGAGAGAAGAGCTCCGCTTCGGCCTTGAAGAGGGGAGGGGAGGGAGTGGCAGGCGGGTGGGCAGGGCCCACTCTGGCTTCGCTGGGCGCTGAAGATGAATGACAAGGCACTGGGGGAGGGGGGATCGGAGGAGCGAGAAGTGGGGGGCGGGGGGAGGGCTCGAAGCGGATGAGGGAGAGTTCCTGCGACGACACTCACACCAGCACTCCGGAGAGCACTCACCCACCCAGGTGCCCACAAATGGGCGCCCCAGGTTGTTTCTGCCCCAGCGCTGAGACAGCCACACTGCCTGATAACAACCCCGACCCAACCCGAGACGTTCTACCACTTCTCCAAGGGGAAAACAGAGGGGCCGGTGAGGGGGAGAGTCACCGCCAAGGTCGCGGGGACCAGAGCTGGGGCTCCGGGGCATGCCGCGAGGTGCAGCTGCGTGCCTCACAGCTGGAGGGAAGGCGCCCACAGACCCCTGCGGGCAGGTCTACTGGGGCCCGGCCAGACAGCCAGCGGGTCCGCAGCCCGGGGCTGCAGACACCAGGCGGGAGTGGACGACTGCCGCACCGTGGACAGCCGGGCGGTACTGAGCAGCCCACGCCCCGCGCCCCGCAACCCAGGCCCTGCGCGGCCCGAGCAGCCCCGCCAGGCCTAGCCGCCCGCCGGGCTCACCTCGGCTCCGCGCCGCCGCGCCGGAGGCAGAGGGAGGGCGCGCAGGCGGCGATGCGTTCTGGCGGTTCCCGGCTCCGCGGCCCGGACCCGGCCGCCCCGCCCCGCTCTGCTCCGCCCCGTCGCCGCCGCAGTGGGTGTGAGGGGCGCGGGGCGCTGCGACCCTTCCGGTCCGGTTCCCTTCTGCTCCGCTGCTGCCGCCGCCGCCACCGCCGCCGCCGCCGCCGCGGCGCTCGGCCTGACGGATCCTCAGATCAGCCAATCAGAGCAAGGAGAGCCTGGCAGGCGGGGCCAATCGCGACAGGGAGGCGGGCCGAGGCTGGGCAGTACGGGCGTGGCTGTAGGCTTGGTGTGGGCGGGGCCAGTGGAAGGCTCAGGGTACTGGAGTGCGGAGTGGCGCCCCCTAGGCTGCTCGCGGGCCTGGCCGTCTGCTTGCTGCAAGCTTGCCGGCTAGTGTGTGCAGCAGGCTGGGGGAGCTAAGACCCTCTCCTGAGCCCTCCCTCCAGGGCCAGGGGACCCGCATGCGTCTGAGAGAGTGGACCAAGGGGAATGGGAGCCGGGGAGGAGCGAGGCGTGTCTTTGCTACCATGTAAGAGCGGTAGTCAGGCCTCGGTGGCAGCAGGTGCAAGTGGCAAGGCGGCCTGGAAAAAGACGGGACAGACAGGACCCCCGGGGCAGGATCAAGGCCTTGGCATCCAGGAACCTGGAGTATAACGGCACGGCACCGGAGGAGGGAGGAGGGCGCCGAGCTTAGGGTCTGTTGCTTACTAAGGCTGGTGCGCTGCCTGCGCATGCCACACTGAATGGGCTCCTAATAGGGGTGCGGCCACATGTCCAGAGAGTGGGGGTGGGGGAGACAGTGACCACGACCCTGGTGAATCAGTAATGGGGTATGGCCTAGAGAGGAACTCTTGCAAGGGACAAACTTCTGCTTCGGTTTAGAGGGGCCAGGAGGGCATTCGACGCTGAATGGTGGCTTCTAGACAGGGGTCTTTGGCATGGCTGCTTCCGTCACCTCTCCTGCAGCCCTCGGGCTCTCAGATCCGTTCCAGCAGGTCTGAGGTTGTATAAGATGTTTGGAGAGCACAGCGTTTTAGGTGCGGATCACTATATGTTTGGATAGAAGGTTGCAAGTGAGACAGGGAGGTTGGACCCTTTGGGGGAAGGCTCGGAGAGCTGTCAACAGGGTAGGCTCAGGGCTGGCCTTTAAGGGACTGGAAAATGGAGACCGTATTTGAAAAGTGGTGACTATGGCGGTAGAGCTGTTGCCAGGGAACAGAGAAGCTCAGGGGACTAGGAGGCCCCGAGGATCTGGGCAGAATTTGAAGAGAGCTGCAACCCTGTGATTCAGGTTTTAAGTACTGAGCCAGGGCGGCGGAGGCGTTGGCCTCAGAGGGGCGGTGGGATAGAGAAAGGGACCCAGTCACCCATGCTGTCCCTATCTTTTTCTGCTTTTCTATTGCTGTGACAAAGCACAATGACCAAAAGCACCTTGGGTAGGAAAGGGTTTATTTGGCTTACAGCTCTCAGGTCACACTCCATCACTGAAGGAAGGAACCCAAGGCAGGAACCTGCAGGCAGGAACTGAAACAGAGGCTATGGATGAACACCACTTACTGACTTGCTCGGGCTCCTTTCTTATTCAATCCCAATTACCTGATTAGGAATGGCTAGGGCCCCCCACATCATTCATTAATGAAGAAAATGCTCCCACAGACTTGTCTAAAGGCCAGTCTTACAGAGGCATATTCTCACTTAAGATTCTCTCTTCCCATTTATGACTAGGTCATGCTGCCAAACCCAAGCCCAGCACAGGCCTCCTTTGGCCACCCCCTTGGTCACCAGAGGGAGTATGGTTTATTCCTGCTTAAAATTCCCCTACCTTCTGAGTGTGCTACATGGAGAAAGGTTCATTTTGTGGGCTTCTGTCCACACCTGTCCTCACCTCAGCTTTACCGGGCACCTGCTTTAGGACCACCAAAGAACACAGAGCCAATAACTTTGGCATTATAAAAGCCAGTACGGCCTGGCTGTCATAGCTGCAGTTTCAGTGAGGAACACTGATCACAGTTCCCTTTGATTTGAATGGCCCTCCACTTCCCAGACATCCAAGGCTTGCTTTTAGCACCAACTCAATGCCAAGCAAGTAACCCAAAATCATGGTTATGTTTACAGTGCCTATATTTACCCACTGAGTTTTCCATAAGAATTCTGTTCATTCTGCAGACCCCACTCTTTGTCCTGACTTACAGAATAACGGTGGCCATAACATGCAGAGCTGAGGGGACATGACAGGGTGGTGTGGGATGATGCTGGTCCGGGCTTTGAATGAGTGCCGAGAATCCTGGTCGAGGCTCACAGTGGAAAGATCCTGCCAAAAGTGTGATGTGAACTCCATATGTGGATAGTGACACCTGATGACCCTGGCCAGGCAGGGAAACACAGTGGAGTGAGGACTCTCGGCAGAAGGAAGTCCTCACTGGGGCTGGAAAGACAAAGGAGAGTGCTGGGACCGGGGCTTAGAAACACGTTTGGGCCAAATGCTCAGGAAGGAGAGGGACATGGGTGCTGTGTCCAGGGAGCCACAGCCAGCTGTGCTGGCAGGAGAGGGAGGTGAGAAGGTTGGAGAAGAGCCATCCTGGGGATGGGCTGGCTTCCCGGGCCCACTAGTGGCACATGGGCTGCCTTCAGCTCACTGCTGTGCTTTCTTCAAAGGGGTTTGGATAGGTGGTTGTTTTTTTGCTTGTTTGTTTGTTGACATAATTGCATCATCTAAAAATTGAGAGGATTCCCAAAACAGAAACAAAACAAAAGGCAAAACTCCACTGTTGAGTTCTCCTCCTAAAGGGCAGTGGTCACGAGGAACTGGGTGGAAGCTTCCCTTCAGGTGAGGCTCCAGCTTTCCTCCACCCTTTTCTTCCTGCGGCCCCCACTTCTCAGCAGCTTCACCTTTACCTGGTGGCCTTTGCGGCGTGGTAGGGTGGAAACCTGTCTGGAGAGGTAAAGGGCCACCGTTGAGAGTGTTAAGCAAGGAGTTAAGTGGTGTGGTTCAATGTGTGTTTTAGAAAGATCACTAGAACATGTCAGAGCTGAAGAATGGTGGGCTTAAGGCCACAAGACTAGTTGAAGAGATCGGGCAAAGGCCATTTTGAGAAACGGAAGCCCGGGCTGGGGCCATGGTAGCAGGTACCAAGAGGAAGGAATTGACTTGAAAGCTGCTTCAGGACTTCTGGGAACTATAAATCGATCTGCAATGAGCTCTCACTACACAGCCACTGGGATTGTGCTCCAAAATGTAATACCAGGGGTTGGTGGTGACATGAAGCAGCTGGGATACTCGTGCCCTGGCGGGAAGGCAAAAATACTATAACAATTTTGCAAAGCAGGACAGCGGTTTTGGATAAAGCTGAAAATACACCGAACACGCCATCCAGAGACCCTACCGCTCCCCTCTTTGGCTTCTTTTCTCTCTTCTGCCACGCCTCTTGGCTCTGTCCACTCCTTGATGCTATGGCAGACAGACTCCGTCCACGTCCCTGTCCCACACTGACCCCTTTGCCGGGCAGAAAAGAGCACAGAAGGCGTGGGTCCTGGGCTGGGGGTGCTGGGAGAAGAAGGATTGTCCAGGGGCCTGCTTCCCATGCGACCTCGGACTGATCGATTTCCTCGGCCTGCGTTCCAACCTAACTCTGTGTATCAGCGATACTCCCCAGGGCAATAGCTCCTCCAAGGGGGTTCTGTGGGAAATAGTAAAGATGGTGATTATAGCCTTTGGGGGACGCAGAGAGCTCAGAGGCCCGAGAATGCTCCTTCTCCTGCGGGCTTCCTCTGTCTCCCTCTCCTCCCTTCCTGCTCCTCTCTAACATTTCTCCTCCTCTCCCCAACTGTTACCAGAGCTGACGAACCTAACTGAAGACTGTTTCAACTGTGCTTTGTAGTGGGGGCGAGGTGATGGTGATCTGCGCATAAACCAATGGGGACAAGTATTGTCCCCGTGTGTGTGTGTGTGTGTGTGTGTGTGTGTGTGTGTGTGTGAGAGAGAGAGAGAGAGAGAGAGAGAGAGAGAGAGAGAGAGAGAGAGAAGAGAGAGAGAGAGAGAGAGAGAGGGTTGTTTAGCTGTGTGGTTGGTTGGAAATACAGAGTCCAGAGGCCTTATCTGGTTATGGCTTTCTTGCTGGCAAAGTCTCCAGGCAATTCAAGGCACCATATTGTATGAGACAGAGACTGTATACTTGTATATGTGTGTCTATTTCCTCATAAAAACCACCAGAAGCCTGTTCTGATCTGAATGACCTTATCCAATCCTAGTCATTTCCCTAAGGCCTCACCTCTAAATAGCATAATTGAAATAATTTTCCACCTCTTCATACCTCACGGTAGCCCTGGGGGCCACTCACATCCCCTCAGAACCACAGCAGGATGCTCTCGTGCTGTGCACTGTGGTGAAAGCCAGGGTAGAGCCTGCCTCGGCAACCATCTGCTCAGGAGCCAGAGCTGAAGGAGCCAGGGAGGGGTCACGCTCACATCCTGCTCTTCTCTGGGTCAGCATCTTTCCCTGGCTGTGGCATTCCTGCCACCTGTATTCGATTCTGCTCCCCCACCATTCGAGAGGAAGAACCCTGAGTCCTGAAAAACTCGAAGTAAAAGACTCAGTGAACCCCTTCTTGTAGCTGCTACACATGTGCCAATCCGGGTCAGACACGGGTGTGGTGATATATCGTGTACCCTGATAAACTTGCCTGAGGATGAGAGGACAGAGCCAGCCACTGGATTAGACACAGAGGTCAGGCAGCAGTGGCACACACTATTAATCCTCTTACTCGGGAGGCGTAGATCCATCTGGATCTCTGTGAGTTCAAGACCACACTGGAAACAGAGCAGGCAGTGGTGGCTCCCACTTTTAATCCCAGTACTGGGAAGCACACACGCCTTTAATCCCAGGAAGTGACATGGCTGGGTAGAGGAAGCTATATAAGGCATGAGAGATACAAAAAAAGGCAATTCAGATGAGATCCTTTCCGGTGAGGACGCAGAGGCTTTCAGTCTGAGGAATTGTGGAAAGAGGATCAGCTGAGGAGTTGGTGAGGTGAGGCTGGCTGCAGCTTGCTGTTTCCCTGACCTTTCAGCTTTCACCCCAATATCTGACTCCGGTGTTTTTTGTTTTTTTTTTTTAATATAACACCATTTAAGATTCGAACAGCACACGGGCTCACGTGACAACACAATGAGTGGACTAGACTGGCTGGAAAAGGCGGGAGTCTAGGGATATATTCTCTGATAACCAGAGGGCGTAGAGGTGACATGGAGGCGGGCTTGAGGGGCCTCGTGCTGAGTGGAGGCAGATACTCAGGACTGTATAGCTGGAGACTGAATGCTGTGGCCTCTTCTCCAGGCTTCTTCCAGAGTGCCAGCAGCTGGGCCCTGACTCCCAGCCAGACGACCAGACAGCTTTTCTGAAAGTCTGACAAATTCTAAGAGGACATTGACATTATGACACCTCACATCACCTAGGGGTTCCCAGCAGTGAATGTCCATGTTAACAGATGTGTCCACAGAACTTCTTATCAGCCTGTCTCGAACCTGGGCAAGACAGTCCAAGGTCATATGGAAGAGAATATTAATACAGTCAAACAGAAAACTGAATCTTAGCCAGGAGGTGGTGGCACACACCTTTAGTCCTAGCACTCAGGAGGCAGAGGCAGGCAGGCGGATCTCTGTGAGTTCAAGGCCAGCCTGGTCTAAAGAGTGAGTTCCAGGACTGTTTCACAGAGAAACTCTTGTCTCGAGAAAAAAATAAAAAAGAAAGAAAGAAAGGAAGAAAGAAAGGTAAGAAAACTGAATCTCGCCACAGAGACACCAAGAAGAGGATAAATTCAAAAAGAAAAAAAGAAATATTATTGTTGGCTTCAAAGGGACTGAAAATATATCACACCGTTGGGACAAGAGCCAGCCTTTCAGAAGCAATTCTGAATACTCATACATGTCCTTGGTCTCAGGTGAGGTGGCCTAGAAGTAATGACATCCCAGGAGCAGAATACGGAAGCAGGTCTTTGCTTCCGTATTCCCTGACAGAGGTGACTAGGAGCCACTAGATATGGTAAATCAGGGCTGGTTAGGCAATGTTCAAGTTAGACCTGGAGTTTAGCAGAGTATAAATCAGGAAGTACTTACAAAATATACACAGACAGACCCAGGATGATGGGGGTGTGTCAGAAACACAGAGGCCAACTCAAACAGCTCCTAGCAGCCAGAGGTAGGATCTCAGGAAATAACATCTGACACAGCATCTTTGCAGAGGCAAAATCTGGCACCGACTGTCTCATGTAGGTTAATATCAGATCAAGATTAACCCTGGCAGGGGCCAGTAGTGTCGATAGTTTGTGTCCTGGAGGTGCAGTGAGAAGAATGTCGCTCTTCCTCCCCCAGCTCCACAAACCCATTCCAACCACGAGGAAAACATCGGACAAACATCACTGGTGAACGTTCTACAAAATTCCTGCCTGTGCTCCTTAGCACTTGATGTAATTTACTAGTGGATAGCTTGGTTGTAGATAGGGCAGTCGATATAGTTAGGGAGAGAAGACTGAACAAATTTCCTAACTAGTTGAACTAGAAGACAAGATTGATGGCAGGAAAGAATGCACAGACCCATCCCATCAAAAAGCCTCAAGCTCTGAATCGGACACTGCGCTTCAGAGAGGCCAGAGGAAAGGAAACATAACTCCATAACAAAGTAGTTCAAGGTTTCTCAGAACTCTGGGGCTGGAGAGATGGCTCAGTAGTTCAGAGCACTGGATGCTCTTCCAGAGGACCTGGGTTCGATTCCCAGTACCCATACCCCCTAACCTTCTGTAACTCCAGTTACAGGGGATCTGACGCCCTCTTCTGGTCATCATAGGCATCAGACATGCAAGTGGTGCCCATGAGCTCACACATAAAAGTAAAACGATCCTGTTCTCTCCCAGACCTGAAGGGGACGCGTTTCTTGACTGAGCTTAACATCTAATGAAAAGACCCAAGGCACTACGCTGCAGGATTTGAGGACACCAGAAACAAAAAGAGAATAAAAAAAAAAAAAAATGAAAGGTCACTGACAAAGACATAGCAGAGTGATTTTGGACTCAATAACAACACAAAGAACAAGAGAATGAAAAATTCTAAGAATTGGTTTTTTTTTTTTCTGACTTAAAATTCTATATTAGGCAAACCTTCACTGAAGTGTAAGTAGTAGTTTCCTGAGCTATTAAGTTCTCAAACATGTACCTCTTGCATGGTCTATGGATTCATATCTTTCCCCTAAACCAATGTTTACAGCCCTAGCCCCCATGTGATGGTAATGAAGGTGGAGTCTGGGCTGTGGAGATGGCTCAGTGGATCCAGCACTTGCTGAGCAAGCATGAAGAAGCAGAGTTTGGAGCCCCAGCACCCACATAAAAGCCAGGATGGTGTGGGGGCCTGCCTGCAACCCCAGCACTCAGGAAGCAGAGATGGGGATGTGTGGTGGTATTGTTTTCCCCAAAATATTGTGTACCTTAATAAACTTATCTGGGGTCAGAGAACAGACAAGCCATTAGGTAGGCGGTGATAGCACACACCTTTAATCCTGGCATTCCAGAGATAGAAATCCCTCTGGATCTCTGTGAGTTCAAGGCCACATTGGAAATAGCCAAGCATGGTGACACACGCCTTTAATCCCAGAAAGCAAGCCTTTTAATCCCAGGGAGTGGTGGTAGAAAGTAGAAAGGTATATAAGGCGTGAGGACCAGAAACTAGAGGCATTTGGCTGTTTAAGCATTTGGCTGGTTAAGCATGTGGCTGGTTAAGCTTCAGGCTTTCCAGCAGCAGTTCAGCTGAGATTCATTCTGGATGAGGACACAGAAGCTTCCAGTCTGAGGAAACAGGACCAGCTGAGGAACTGGTGAGGTGAGATAGTTGTGGCTTGTTCTGTCTCTCTGATCTACCAGCATTGACCCCAATAACTGGCCTCGGGTTTGATTTTATTAATAAGAACTTTTAAGATTCCTGCTACAGGGATGGGTCCCCAGGGCATGCTAGCTAGCCAGACTAACCAAACCAGCAAACTCTGGACTCAGAATGAGATCCTGCCTCAGTAAATAAAGTGGAGCGCAATCCTGAAAGATACCCAGTGTCAGTCTCTGCTTACACACATACACGGGCTGCCACACACGTATGAACATGCAGATACAAGCATGCACACATTAACAAAGTCAGGCCTTTATAGGGTGACTGGGTCATGAAAATGAAGCCCTCATGAATGCCACCAGTGCTCTTCAAAAGAAGCCCTGGGACGCTCTCTTGCCCCTTCTACAGAGAGAAGAAACAGAGAGGTATTCTAGTAGGAAGCAAGAAGCAGACTCTCCCACATAGCAAGACGGCTAGTGCCTCGATCTTGGATTTCCCAGCCTCCAGAGCAATGAAAAAAAAAAAAATCCCACCGAGGATTAAATTTCAACACATGAATGAACCACTGGGGGAACACATTCAACTCATCTCCAAATTGTACCACTAATAATGGGAATGTTCCCACCACACACTGCTCAGACCCTCAGACGTAAGGAAAATGAGGTTAACCAAATCCAAACAAACAAGGCAGAAAGAAAAAGTTGCACTGTCTTTATTGTTGTAAAATTGCATAGTACATTGATTGTGCACGCTTTTAAATAGAGCAGGGCAGCCCCCTCCAAACCACGTTCTCGCATGGGGCATTTCAGGCTGGTTCACTATGAATAGGGAGCAGGGACCAAAGTGCTGCCTGGGCTTAAAAAAGATCCACGATCTGATTAAGTAGAAGTCAGAGAGCTGAGGGATTTGAGCCCATCTGAGGATATTAGAAGAAGTGGAGACTTCAATTGAGCTCAGAGGAGGCATCGGAAGTGGGTAGAGGGGACTCACTGATGTCAGGGGACAGGAGTCAGGAGCATCTTATGGAGGGAAGGAAAGGAAAAAGGAGACAAAGGGCTCATGCCTTGTGCCCAAAACTGAGATGAATGACACTCGCCAGGAGGGAGCCCAGAGACAGCACACTGGGTATCCCAGATGCACGGTCTGGGCGTTTCCACGGCTACCGAAAGCCACATACTAGAAAAATAACTTAAAAGCTATACAGTCATCATTATAAATATTTCATCTTTTTAAAACTAGCTAGTGTTGGTTAAAAAAAGGTTCACAGTTACTCTGAAGAGAGCGGTATCTCTATTGCACAGTAGTGGAAAGTCTGCTCCGATCCCCATGTGTAAACAATTCCTTCTCCTCAGTGACTTCAGGACACAGAGAAACAGCATTTGCTGTAAGCAAAGCACTTGGGTACAAGGCACGTCAAAGCTGTCAGGCTCTACTGGGAGCACGGGGGACCCGTGGAAGGCCCCGCTTCTTTTCCCTGGTGGCACCTGTGCAGTCGGGTCAGCTCTTGAATCAGACTGCGGGTGGTGATGGTCTTGTCATGGAAGTCCTGTTCTCATTCCACAGTGACAGACTTGGCCAGGTTCCTGGGAAAGTCAACCTACAAAGAAAGATGGGAAGGCAAAGGATAAAGCTCAGTTGACAGAGTCCTTGCTTAGCTTAGTATGCACAGAACTATCCCCAGCACCTCATAAAAACAGGCATGCAACCACACAAACTTGGAAGGCAGGAGGATCAGAAGTTCAAGACCAGCCTCTACCACATAGCAATTTATTTAGTATCTCACAGGTGCCAGTAACATGCTGCTGTTTCTTCCCAATCACCTCTAACCAATCTACCTGAGCACCTCCATTTTGAAAGTGGATTCCTTTTTGCAAGAGGCTTCCTATAACGCTACAGATTTCCTTCACTCAATAGACATTTGTTATGACTTGACATGTGTCCTGTTGTGTCCTTCATATCTTTCACATCAGGTAGCTTGGTGGGTGCTGTTAAAGAGTCACTTTTCAGTCACAGGCATGGTGGTGCTCTCTTGTAATCTCAGCACTCAGGAGCTGAGGCAGACAGAATAGAGCACAGGCAAGCCAGGTCTGTACAAGTCCAAGGCCAGCTTGGGCTACATAGTCAAAGCCCATCGAAATGAACAAACAGGGGCTGGAGGGATAGTCCAATGGGTAACAGTCACACTGGTCTTGCAGAGGGCCCAAGTTCTGTTCCTAGCATCTCTGTCAGGAGGCTCACAACTGCCTGTAACTCCAGCTCCAAGAGATCTGAGACCCTTTGCACAAAGATAGAGTGCACAGCATATGTAAGACTTGGTTTGACCACCAGCACTGGAAAAATTAATGAAAAAAAATTCACATTTTTGGGAAGGACACATACATTTCTCAAGACTTGTTGAGTTGGGTAAAGACTGAGAAGGAAATATGACTGAGGATAAGTAATAAAGTGAGCTTCCACTTGGTCTGTAAAAAGGTATTTTATTTATATGCTAAGAAAAGATGAAAAAAATACAACCAAAAGTTATCAAGTGTCAATTAAATGACATACATTTAAGTGTCTGGGATAATGTTCTTTGAATTGTTATAATTTATAAGCTTCTCAAAATAAAACTGTAGCCTGGCAGCAGTCATGCACGCCTTTAAGCCCAGCACTCAAGAGGCAGAGGCAGGAGAACTTCTGTGACTTCGAGGCCAGCCTGGGCTACAGAACTAGTTCCAGATAGCCAGGGCTACACAGGGAAGACTTGTCTCAAAAAAAGACCTTGTCTCAAAACAAACAAAGAAACAAAGAAAAAAAAAATCAAAACCAAACCAAACCTGTAACACAGCATCCATTTTGTTTTACACAGTGTATTGTGTTCTTATACATTTGCTGGTGATATCATAAACTGATTCTTTTCTGGGGCACAATTTCGATGTCAGTAGTCTCAAAATGTCATTTTCTCCACAATGATAAATCTTAAATGTGGGACAAAGATGTGCATACAAACATGTTCACTGCAGTGTTATTCATAAAATGAAAAATTGGAAACAGCAGACTAGTTAAGTAATTGTTCCGAAAATCATGCTATGAGCTTATAATGGCAGCCACAGAGACGTCTCAGTGGTTGAGAGTGCTTTGCTCTACCAGAGGATCTGAGTTAGTGTTCCACATCAGTGGCTCACAACCACCTGTATGTTAGTTCCATGGGGATCTGATGCTCTCTTTGGGTTCCTGAGGGCACTGCATTCCTGTGACATATAGTTACATGGACACACATACAGACGCATAAATAAAAAAATTTAAAATGAAGATTTTGATGGAATACTGTACAACAATTAAAGGTACGGAACAAGTTCATAAAGATGAAAAATCAATATCAATAATACAAGGAAGAAACAGAATTTTAATTTTGGTACAACATTAAAGTTTTGTGTTTTTTTTTTTTCTTTTTGTATTTGAGTCTCTCTATGTAGCACAGGCTGCCCCAAATTTGTAATTTCCCTGCCTTAGCCTCTTGAGTGTTGGCCTTCCAAGTACGCTACATCAGTCCTGGCTTGAAAAATGTTTGTTTTTTTTTTTTTAAATTTGCACGTATAGGAGAAAGAATTGAATGAAATATTGACTGCATTGATCAACACTGCCTCTGGATGATGGTTGATTTTCTGCAGTTCCTGAGGAATCTAAACAACCTTAAAATGAAAGTTACTTTTAAGTGACATTATTTCTCCAATGAGAATTTAATCCAAATAAGCGTTTAGAAAACACAAAGAGGCCGGGCGGTGGTGGCGCACGCCTTTAATCCCAGCACTCGGGAGGCAGAGGCAGGCGGATCTCTGTGAGTTTGAGGCCAGCCTGGGCTACCAAGTGAGATCCAGGAAAGGCGCAAAGCTACACAAGAGAAACCCTGTCTCGGAAAACCAAAAAAAAAAAAAAAAAAGAAAGAAAACACAAAGAGGCAACTTTGCATTACATACTGTATCTATGCATTAAAATGGTTCCCTATGCCCCATAAATATGTTCAAATGTCAATAAAAATAAAAATGCATTGATATAAAACAGATGCAGCTTCCTGTTTCTCTGGGCTGCGCTCATGCAAAGTTTAGACTTACATCGTAGCCTCGGAGGACAGCCAGGTGGAAGGACAGAAGCTGCAGCGGGATGACACTCAGGATGCCCTGGAGACAGTCGACCGTGTGGGGCAGTTCGATGGTTTTATACGCGAACTTGGAACTCTCGGTGTCATCCTTGGAACACAGTATGATTGGACGACCCTAAAGCAGAGAGACGGGCCCATAAAATACTGCGCCTCTGAGAGAAGCAAAACCCTCTCTTGCACCCAGCAGAGTTTCTGGAATTTTCTGGAGTCAGCATTACTGTTAGCGATAATATTAATTGCTTTGACTTTGCTAGAATTACCGGTGAGGTCGTGTGCACGCCATGTGTAAAGGACAGTGTACGGTGCTTCTTGGTGTGTTTCTTCCCCTTCCTGGGCCAGGCGGCTGCACTGTGCACCATCATTGAGCATTCATTTGTTGACTGGCTTCCAAGTGCTTTGTCCTGACCCACTCCTAACGCTAATGGGGCTCAAAATCCAGTGATGGAAATAAAATCATGAACAAAGATGAATTTTGGATAAATGCCACAGCGGCAATAAAGTGAGAGACATTAATAAGTTTTGTATGTGTTAACATTGACAGCCTCCAAGCATATCTGTGAGGGGTTATCTAGATTATGCCAGCTGAAGTGGAGAACACATCCTGAAAATGGGTGGCACCATTTCCTAGGCTATGGCCCTGGACTGAATAGAAAGGAGAAAGCAGACAGAGGGCCAGAAAATGCAGGTTGACGACCTGCTTGCTCAAACCCTGCTACCATGACAGACCCTTGAGCCATGAGCTCCAATAACTTCTTAAATTGCTTTTATCAAGGTATTTTAATCACAGCAACCAAGAAGTAACCAAGATGGTTTGGGAGGACGAAGCCAGGCAAGCTAGAGCTATATAACAAGTTCAAGCCAGCTTTGGCTACATAGAAAAAGCTATGTAGCTCTTTGCATTGGACTATGAAGCTATTTTCATTAAAACCCTTCCCTACTCCTACCCCAAAAATGATAGGAAGAGCCAATGCAAAGGCTCAGAGGGAAGAATGAGCTTGGCATGTGTGGGAATCAGGACAAGACCTGGAACTCAGTGGGATGTGGAAAGGGGCCGTGCGATACAGAGTGGGAGAGGGGTCTCTGTGAGAGGGTTTTCAGTAGAAAATACACAGTTGTGTTTTTATACTAGTATACTTTTTTTTTTTTCCAAGACAGGGTTTATCTGTGTATCCTTAGCTGTCCTAGGACTCACTTTGTAGACCAGGTTGGCTTTGAACTCACAGAGATCCGCCTGCCTCTGCCTCACGAGGGCTGGGATTAAAGGCATGCGCCACCCCTACCTGGCTTAGTTTACTAGTTTTGTTTGTTTTTTTTTTTTTTTTTTTTGGTTTTTCGAGACAGGGTTTCTCTGTGTAGCTTTGCGACTTTTCCTGGAACTCACTTGGTAGTCCAGGCTGGCCTTGAACTCACAGAGATCCACCTGGCTCTGCCTCCCGAGTGCTGAGATTAAAGGCGTGCGCCACCACCGCCCGGCTACTTTACTAGTTTTATACTAACTTTATATACTAGTTTTTATTCTAACCACTGTGCTGAGATACATGAGGCTGTGCAGGCTCATGCATCTTACCGGATTTCACCTACCTGTAACTTCATGGACCCGAGTGCTCTCTGTCCTCCTATCTCCCTGAGGCCAGTGAATAACACATGTGGCGAGGGAGCCAATCTACCTTTGGACTTTGAGCTTCTAAGAAGTGCCACGGTTCACAGTGGACCCCTTGCACTATGCCTGAGTTTATCAAGATAACTCATGGTAGACCATAAGTAGTTTCAGGATGGGGACTGACCACGCTGGAAAGATAAACCATGACTAGAGAGTTGAAGCTTGGAATCTCCAAACACAGAAGTAGGGCAAGTTCAATCACATGGTCCATGATTTAGTCATCCATGTCTGCTTAATGAAACCACAAGAAAAGTCTTGAAGTCAGAAGGTCAAGGGGCTGCTCTTGTGACACCCACCAATGTAGCCAGGCAAGCTAGATCTATATAGCAAATTCAAGACGACAGAAGCTACCCATCTGGGACCTTCTCAGTATGGCTTCTTCCTCTGGGGCAGGCCCTAATTTGATTCTTCATAATAATATTTTAATTATAAATATTGCCCTTTCCTAAGTTCTATGCGTTGTGCCAGAGAATTACCAAAATGTGAGGGGTTTGGGGAGCCCCCAAATTTGAAGCCAGTCTGGGGTTCGAGTGCCCATTAGTTCCTCGTGTGTGGGTTCAGATGGGAGGATAGTCTTATGAAGGACTGTGCACTTACCCTGTGATGTCTGACTTAACTCTGCAAAGTTAGCATCAGAATTGCATCACAGCAACCCTGGGAGGGAACTCCAGTCCTAGGATGATGCCCTGGCCCTGGAAGCGCCTCCTCTGTCCCCAGCCCTAGGATCCAAGGCAGCTCAGTGACAGTCTGGTCATTGGCCCTCACTAAGGAGCTGGAGGATATGACCTCAGGCTCCTTGGTTTCTTGCCAGATTTGTGTGGTATTCAAAAGGGAGCCCAGTGAGCCAGTGAGATGACTTAGTGGATACATGCTTCTACCAGCAAGCCTGAAGACCTGAGGTCCAGACCCAGAACACACATGAGGCAGAAGGAGAGAACTAACTTCTACAAGTTGTCCTCCGATTTCCACTCATCTGCCATGGCACAGACAGGCCCCTCCTCCACACGAAAAGATAAACGTAGACCAAAGCGACAGGGCAGAGTGTGGTCACACCCGCAGACAGGCGTCGGTGAGATGGGTTACGTGTGGTGCGGAACAGGAAAGCAGGGACCTCGGTTTGTAGGAGAGCCCTCACCTGGCGGGCGGTGACCTGCTGCAGGGCGTTCTGGCATTTGGCAAAGCAAGGGTCCTTCATGATGACCATGATGACGGGCATCTGCTTGTCGACGAGGGCCAGGGGCCCGTGCTTCAGCTCTCCAGCCAGGATCCCTTCCGAGTGCATGTAGGTTATCTCTTTAATTTTCTACCAAGACACAAGTCGGGATCACCGTTACACTGGGAAGGCGGGGGCTGTGGCAGAGAAGACAGAGGGATGCTGGGAGAGGGGGCTACTCCAGGGTAAGAGCTAAAGGTCTCAAGGCAGATGGGGCATAGACAGGCCAACAGCAGCCACGGATGCTCTGGGCCAGGAGAGAGGAGGGTTGCTGCCCCGAGCTCGGACAAGGTTGCCCGGGCAGCAACCTGGCAGCGCCCAGGCACAACAGTGACACCTCTCTTAGCGCCGTGCAGTCATGCACTCAGACAGAAAGTTAGCCTCAGTCCAGTTTGCCTTCACCCCCACCCCCATGGCAAGCCACGTGGCCTCCCCAGCAACCACAGATAATGGTGGCATTGTATTCCGCTTAGATATGCTCTTATTCAATTAGACGGCTAACGATTCTCCCAATTTTAGATCCTTAATCACATCTAAACAATTGCGTAGATTGACCTAGCTAGTAAATTCCCATACCCCAGGCTGTTATGAGAATGTTTTTTCCCTTTGTTCAAGTAGATCCATGTCCATTCATTTCCTGTGAAGTTTTCATTATTACACCAATGAGAATGTTAAAGAATATATTTCTCCACATGTCTAGAACTAGTTATTTGGGTCAGGCAAACCCTGTGAGGAACGAGGCTCCTCCTTGGAGACTACAGACAGCTGGCGTGCTGGCCTCCAAGTGACCACACAGAGGCCATTGACTTGGACCAACAGCAGCCTAAACACCCCTTTCTTTCCTCAAAGACCAACTCGGAGACACAGCTGAATGTGCATCTTTCATCAGCAATGCTTTGCCACCGCAACTGACCCCCGCAGCCAGAGAGCAGAACTATCAGGGGACTTAAAGTGCACCCCACCCAGACTTTGCCTCTTCTGTGCCCCTGAATGCCCAGCACTCTGTTCCTTATGGGAGCTGGACTCTCAGAAGCGACGCGAGTGCACGGTGCAGGGATTGACCAATGTTGGAAAAGGCCCCAGTAGTGATCTTTACAGTCAACTTGGTGGGATTTAAAATTCCATAAAAACCAACTTCTGGGCACGGTGTGAGCACATTTTTAGACTGGCTTCACAGAGGTGGGGAGACCCACCCTAAGCATGGGTAAAATGGTCCATAGGCTGGGGTCCTGGACAGAATAAAAAGAAACGAAGCTGGACACCAGCATCTGTCTCTCTGTTCCTTGTGGACACAGTGTGAAAAGCTACCATATGCCTTCCCCATCAGGACGGACTATATCCCCAAACTGAGAGCCAAAGCATACCCTTCCTTCCTTCCAAAAAAGTTGCTTTTATTGGGCATTTTGTCTCAGCAAGGAGGAAAGCAACAGACACATATGTTTGGTCTCTGTCCCTTTTATTTTTTTAGCATGTAGTCCCTGAAATCCTTACAGTGATCAAAGTGACAGGTGTCTTTCCTTGCTAATAATAGCAACAGGACAGGTCTCTACTATCTAGAACAAGGCTGGTGTAGAGGGTTGGAATTTCCAACTTTATAGCAGCTCATCCTTGCAGAGCGAACGTGGGCTGAAGGCTAAGTCCATCATCAGTGGCCATTGACTAAATCGATTAAACCTATATGTAAGGAAGCCTCCATAAAAACACAAAAGGATGTCTGGGAGAGCTTCTAGATCACTGAATAAATGGTTCCTGGAGAGAGGCATGATCAGAGACGACAGTGAAATGCCACATCCCTTCCCGGACACCTTGATCTGTGTATCTATCCCTGCATCTCAGGTTCATCAGTATCCTTGGTTGGAGCCTTTACAATGAACCAGTAACATGAGGAAAGAATTAATCTACATGAAATGCATATATTGGAGGTTGACACTCAGGGGGTCAATTCACTCCCAGCTACAACCATCTGTAATAGTCCCTAACTGCCTTTTGTGAGCCACCCATCTACTAACTGGTTATGACAAGGAGGGGAGCCAATACACTTGGTACTCCTGTCCTGGTTCACAGGGATGTCTCACCTGGAACACAGAATCCCTTTAACCGTGTATGGCATTCTGATCTATAGAAAGCAAACTAATAGTGAGAAATTTGGAAGCCCAGGAGTCAGCTTTGCCAGCCTTCAGTAGCCCTACACGTCCAACAGCTTGTCTCAGCCCTACTAGCTTTCTCTCCCATTAGTAATTCATTGTCACAGGACAAAGTCATCGGTTTTTTTGTTTTTTGTTTTTTTTAAATTCAGGCTCATTGCTGTGGGAATGCAAGTTCTGCCCCCTTGGGAAGTTTGAGGGTCAACATCTCAAGGAATATAGAGATCTTGCAATTTCCAACTTCCAAAATCCTTCCCCCATAGGTTACTTGTGGTAGTTGACCTGAATTTGATTTACCTCCTGTATGCAATCTGTGTGTACAGAGGTGTGTGTGTGTGTGTGTGTGTGTGTGTGTGTGTGTGTGTGTGTGTGTGTGTGTATGTATGCCTTGATGTCATTCCTCAAGAGCCACCCACTTTGGTGTTTGAGACATGATCTTTCACTGGAACATGGTGTTCCCCACTTACTTAAATGAGAGTGGCTAACGAGGGAGCCCCAGATGTTGTTTTTTTTTATTACTCTTTTGGGGGGCCTGCCACCCAGCTCTCAAATCACACACAGAGGTTTATTCTTACTTATAAATGCCTGGCCTTTGCTTGGCTTGTTGTTAGCCACCTTTCCTTAACTTTAAATTATCTCATCTACCTTTTGCCTCTGGGCTTTTCCCTTTTCTTCTGTAGATCTTACTCTGTGGCTTGCTGTGTGGCTGGCCCCTGGAGTCCTCCTCCTTCTCTGGATACTTCTTCTTCTCCTCCCAGATTTCTTCTATATATTCTCTCTGCCTGCCAGCCCCACTTCTCTCTCCCTCTCCTTCTCTCTCTCCCTCCCCCCCTCTCTCTCCTGCATTGCTAATGGCTGTTCAGCTCTTTATTGGACCAGTCAGGTGTTTTAGACAGGCAAAGTAACACAGCTTCACAGAGTTAAACAAATACAACATAAACAAAAGTAACACACCTTAAAATAATATTCTACAACACCCAGAGATCCTCCTGTCTCTGCCTCCCCAGTGCTGGGATTACAAGCACATACCAGCTTTTTTTCACATATGGATTCTCACCGGACAGGTACTTGTAGGAGTTTCACCCAATGCCCTTTCCCTTTCTCTCTGGGGACTGAGAACTGCCTGGGGACTGATACCTACTTCACTCACACTCATTTCTGTGACTCCAAGGTAAGAGTCAATGCTCAAGGCAGGCTCATGAGGGTGCCTAGTGGGTTTGCAAACCCTTCCCTTCCAACACTATGCCCTGCCCTCCTTCCCATTGGCTTCCTGCGGCATCTCCTAAGCCTGCCTCCATGTTGCCCTAGGAAGCTGTACAATCAGCTATTAGAGGAGGAGGCTGGCCAGAGAGGAACTCACCAAGGCTCCTTCCAGGCATGTGGCATAGTTGTACCCCCGTCCCATCACCAGGAGTGACCTTTGTGTGTAGAGCTCCAGGGCCAGGTCATGGATCTTCTCATCCAGCAATAATACTTCTTTGATCAGCTCTAAGCAATGCAAAGAGATCAGGGAAAGAGTCAGTCATTCTGACATCCAAACATTCACAAGGAAAATCATTGGCTATAACAAGGTTTAGACACTTCCATTGCTTAGGACACACTGCTTCCTTGAGTTATGTAGAAGGGCTTTAAACTCTGTTTAAACTCAATTCTGTGATAACTTAGGATACTGGCCAGGACCTTATCGGGCTGGAAGTTCCTGTTTGCATGAGTATGCTTGTGAACATCTATAAGGTAGGCTATGAGCTCTCATTTCCAGCTCCATGTTACAGGAAGTAAACCAAGAGCCCAAGAGATTAAATCATGCCCTGGGAAAACACAGGACTGAAATTCCCAATTAACCCCTCAGTTCCTTGCCCTGGGCTGGGTCCCAAGGCGAAGCCAGTGTAAGGCAGACCTGTTATGATCAAACTTCCTGGTGCTGGAACTCTGTTTGTTATACTCTTACAAATTATTGTATTCCTCAAGAGCCTTTGAACTTGTGAGTTATAACTCTCAATACTTACTGGATTTGAAGATAACACTAATTACTTGGGTAAGGTGGTATACACCTTTAATAAAAAAACAAATAACAACAACAACAACAAAAAGAAAGAAAAGAACACTAGTTAAAAACTTTTAAACTATCGGGGCAGTGGTGGTGCACATCTTTGATCCTAGCACTTGGGAGGCAGAGGCAGGTGAATCTCTGTGAGTTCAAGGCCAGCCTGGTTTATAGAGCAAGTTCCAGGACAGCCAGGGATACACAGAGAAACCTTGCTTTGAAAACCAAACAAACAAAACAACAACAACAAAAATTTTAAAAATGCTGCTTCACTCATTGGAAAATAGTAACAGCAATAAGCCTATAATGATAGATTTTTGAAAAAAAATGAGTGAGAAGAATGGTATTGTTGGACATCTTTTAAAAATTTTTTTTTATTACATGTGGAGGTCGGAAACAACTTGCAGAAGTCAGTTTTTACACCATGTGGATTTGGGGGATCAAACTGGGGGTCAGACTTGGCAGCAGGAGCTTCATCTACTGAGTGACCTTTGCAGCCCAAAACCTCTGTGCGGTTTTTAGGGTCTGACTTTTTGATAAGAGTTGGCACCACATCCGCTTCTGCATCTGAACTACTGTGATTTTTATCTTTGTTACTGGAGTGCAGGTATTTCACCAGGCCTTACAAAGACTTGTATTTGGAAAAGGGAAAGGTTCAAAATGTCTGCAAATCATTGGAAGTGTTTCTCATTGGAAGTGTTTTTCGATTCTGTATCAGACAAGAAGCAGGTTTCTTGAAATGGGGAGTTGCAAGTAGTTTCTATTTTTTTACACTTGGCCTCCTTTGCTCTTAAATGGCTTTTTCACACAAGTTGACGATAGCACACAAAGGCCCAGAGCTAGGCAAACCTAAAAATGGACACATTTAGTTACAAACTTTATATTACAAATCACCTTGTTAAAAACCTCCAACTTCTTAATAAAACAAAACAAAACAAAAAACAAACAAACAAAAAACGAAAACTTCAAATCTGGGAATTGGCTAAGCGGAGAGAAATTTTCCAAATTCTAAATGATGATTGAAAAATTGACCTTTATTGTTGGCAACAAGTACTGTTGTTTGTTTCACTTGAAGGGCAAGGCTAACTTCCTTCATTTTAAGGTAAACATCCGCCACTGAGCGGGCAGATCTTGCTACTTAGCAGCTGAGGCAGTCCAGAGAGGAGGGCGGAGGTCCTGGAACTCTGCTGACCACTGAGGCTTTAATTTTTGGCCTAAGCAGGATTTGCTGGGCGTTTGGGGGGTGGGGGTGGAGGTGTAAGAGTTATCATTGAGTAGAAAGATCTAGAAGGAGAGAGTCATTAACAGCATCCTTTACATGAGAATAAAGGATGAGAGCGACCCAAAGGAGCTCAGTGAATTTGGAAATACAGAAAACCATGTTCTGGGACTTACCGGGCAAAGATCTGAGGCCCCGGATGATCTCTTGCCTCCTGTTTTGTAGAGAAATTCGGTCTTCAGACATCATCAAACCAAACATCACCAGAGAGATGAACTGGCTGGTGTAAGCCTGAGGACAAAGGAGGGGGCCCGTGAAGACTTTAGACAGCCGCCCCAAAGGTGTTTAAGGAGATGGGAGAGGTACACCACAACATGGACAAAGATGGGGGAGAGATGTAATGACAAGACCAAGAGATGGGAGCCAGCTGCAACTGCAAGGACACTCGTCTCTCCAGCCGATGCCACAACCCAGGTTCTCCCCGGAGAACACAAGCAGTTCGTACCTTGGTGCTGGCCACCCCGACCTCCGGCCCTGCGTTGATGTGCACGCCACAGTCGGTCTCCCGGGAGATGGAGCTGCCCACAGTGTTGGTGATGCCCACAGTCAGCGCCCCGCGGTCCTTACAGTATCGAAGCGCCAGGAGCGTGTCTGCAGTCTCACCTGCAACACGGGGATGCTGTCAGTGAGCATGCAGGTGCTAGGCCAGCTAGAACCCTCTCCTCCCCTCCTCCCTGCCTCCTCATTCACCCCTACCCTTCCTGCTTCGAAATCCAAAGCCTGACCAACCTTGGAAAAGAAAACAAGGGTTCAGAATCTTTCCTGTTTCTTAGATTGAAGATCTCATTACTATTTTTGTAGCAAGTGTGTTCTTGTCCCCTGTTTCTTTGAATCCTGATGTCAGCTCCATGGGGGCCTCAGCCCTCATTTCCCTTCAGAATGAGGAGTGCAGAAAATGCAACTCATTATCTCCATCCAGGCCTTGCCGCTGGCTTGGAATGCCCTTCTGGGACTCTAGGCTGCCTGGGTCGGATTGCTGAGGTATAAATATTGAAAACCAAGACTGCCCACATGGTGCTTCTCAAATAGAACATGTTTGAAGGACACATTTCTTGAAACTTCCCAGTGTGGACTCAAATAGTTTTTCTAATTAGGCCACATCAACAGCATAAGCCGCCACCAACTCCCTATTTGCCAGTTTTAAAGAAACTCAAAGCAATACGAGGCCAACCATAAAATCAAGCCCAGTGAATTCCCAACCCTCTGACTGTTCCATCCACATGGTCACTGCTCTTGACTGTGTTCAACTTAGTTCCTGGCCTATCCCCAAAATTGGTGTCACCAGGTTCCAGATGGTGTAATCCCCTTTTCCTTTTTCTCTGTTGACTTCCGGGTTCACTGCACAGGACTCGAAGTCCGCAGCAGCAGCAGCAGCAGGAAGAAAAGGCAAAGGATGGCACTGTCTGCATTAGCCTCAATCTCGGATTTTGGTAGCTCGCTGCTTGCTAAATCTCCTTTACAAACCGGATACTTCCGTACATAGACCTGTGGACTGCCACTGTACTGATGTCATGTGAAATCTACCTGTTTTTCTACCTATTCATGAGCTACATCTCGGCTCTGATGGGAAGAATGACCCAAAGGCAGTCAGTCAGTCGGTGGGGTGGTGGCATGTCTGTGTTAGTTTTTCTCAGCTTGAAAATGGAAATGGTATTAAAAATTGAAAAGGGAAGCAATATTAAAACCCCCCCTATGATATTAGAAGAGTATGTTCAGTTTTCAATTATGATAATGATATTATGGGTTTATGCTTTATCATCATTTTGCTTGGTCTCACATTCTGAATTATCTATGCAGAGAGATGTCACATGATGTTCAGGATTGGAATCAGCTTCCAGATGATCCAAAGGAGGAGACAGGTGAATGGCACACATGGATGACCCTAAGTTGGCTTGGATGGTAATTTCTAAGATTGGATAAGTTGTTATATGAATATTCCTGCTTTAATAAAGGTTTGGAATTCACCAAAATTGAAATATTTCAAAACCCCTCCTTAAATCTCTAAGGGTGACCCCAATGATATGGCTCAGCTGGAGCACACCTTTACCTGGTGTGAGGATGACACCCAGGTAAGGCTCACTCAAGCTAAGGGAAAACGCCCCCCACTTTAACAACAACCGTTGTCTCTCCATGCCTCCCCCTGCTGGACAGTGTGGACACTGCACATAGCAGGCCTCCAGAGCTTGGACACAGAGCCCACCAAGGACTGAATTCAAGGATGGGACTCTCCACACAGTAGAATTGAGATTTTTTTCTCCTTTAAATTATGCCCAGGAAACATTTAGGAGAATGTTGGGGAGTGTTCTTGGAAGTACCAGAAGGCTTAGAATGGCAGGGGAAGCCAGCTTCTCCTAAGTCTGGCAAGGAGCTCCATGGATGCAGATCTCATGGGTCATTACCCATGCTGGGGAGGGCTGTTATCCCCTGATGCAGCTGCCTTTGAGTAACCTGTGCTCCTGTAAGTAAGCTCAATAACCTCACTGGCTCACTAAGCCAGCCTTGGGTGGGATCATTTCTTTAGTCTGTCTTTGGTGACCTATGTGGGATGAAAACTCACACAGATCATACAGTGTTGCTAGCACCGGATGCCTTTAAGGGTTTAAATGACCCAGTGCGTGAGATCATGTGTGATAGATACACTGCAGATGCACGGAGGCTGCACTGGAAGAAGAGGGAGGGTGATGATGTATAGAGGAGAGAGCTCGGAGATGAGCCAGTGAAAACCTGGCCATGCTGCCTGTCTCCCTTACCTGATTGGCTTATGAAGAAGCAAACGTCATCCCTGAACACAGGTGTGTTCCTGTCCAGGAAATCACTGGCAAGTTCAACCATCACAGGGAGCTCGGTCAGTTCCTCTAAAACTTGCCGTGTCTGAAGCCAAACAGAATAGACACTGAAGTCAGTAATGGGCCTCACAGGGACACAGGGCACTGGGCTTCTAAGGACAGTTTATGACATGGTGTCTTGCTGTCCCAGTGGTATGGGAGTATTGGCCACTCCCAGGCTATCTTGCTAGAAGAATGGGCTCAGTCACTTCTCAAGCTGGCTCATGGGAATGAGTACAGGGACTTGATCAAATTGAGAGGCCAGTGCATGACAGCACCATGACCAGCATCTTGGTCTTGCCCGCTGTTAACTTCCCTTAACTACCTTAAGGTCTGGTGTTTGGCACTTACAGCCACAGCGGCGTGGTAGCTGGTTCCACAGCCAATCACGATGAGCCTTCGGCATCTTCGAATCTCCTTCAAATGGTCCTTCAAGCCACCCAGGAGCACTGCAGGACACCAGGCAGGGTATTAATGTTGACTCTACATATGACTGCTTTCAATGGAGCAGGACATGGACAGGGGCTTCTCACCTGTGTTGGTCTCAAAATTCACCCGACCTCTCATGGTATTAAAAACGGATTCTGGCTGCTCGAAGATCTCCTTCTGCATAAATGCACTGAAGTTACCTGGCCAGGGAAACATCACCAAGGTAAGTGACTTTAATTTAGATACATATTTATTGCTTAACTGGGAGCCAGGAAAACCCTAGCAAAAGGCTCAGCTGCTGTTGCTTTTTAATTTTCTGCCAAGATGTCACTTAGGCCACAGGGCTAGTATCACCCATAAAGCCCCCCAATTTTGAAGAGTGCCTGCAGATGTTTTCCTGTCTGAGGCTATGGAAACAAATCATATGAAAGTGGGTCAGATACAGTGACCATCCAGCTTACACCTTAGACCCTGCAGCTTTGGGGGTGCAGGGGCCCCTCTATCCTCTGACTCCCAAGAGCACCTGCTCTTTAAGGCAACTGCACAGGGACTCTGGGAGGACACCTGCCTTTCATTATTTGCTGCAGTTCCATCTGCAAGGTCTGGATGGCTCGGGAGGGGTCATCACTGGCTGAGCGCTTGACTCGGTGAATGGAGAGTTTCCCATCAGCCACTGCGGCGATGTCATCATCTTCCAAGAAGATGACGCGGTTGGTGTGTTCTATGATGGCACTGGAAGGGAAGAAAAAGGCACCAAAGTTCATGTTACACCCTTGACAGTCACCAGGCAGCAGCCACTTGCCATTTCTCAAGCATGGGGTCCTTGTCATTTTAGGCATAACAGTGGCATCACAGTAGGAAGGGTCACAGGGGAGCCCTCCCATTCTCCATACCTCTCTCCTCCAACAACTATTCTGAAACCTAACCTTAATCTTAACCCAGTAGAGAACGTATAGAAATACACCATTTCTGCAGCAAACATTTTTACATATACCTCTTAAATCTTAAGGACTAAATTTTAACCTATTATAGGAACAACAATCTCTTTCAAGCTTAACAATTCGTCTTCAAATCATCAAGTAGCTAATGTGTTCAAATTCCTCCCCCAGGCAATCTCATGGATGTCTTTTTATAATTGGTTTCTTCAAATAAGATACAAAAGCCGTGTCACCTTTGGAGGGGCTGGGAAAGCATACACTATTCTGATTATAAAGTGAAAGAAATAAATACTTGCTTTAAGCATTTTAAAATTAATATTCATTTTTCATGTGCCCGTGTGCCCGTGTGCCCGTGTGTGTGTGTGTGTGTGTGTGTGTGTGTGTGTGTGTGTGTGTGTGTGTGTAGGTCAGAAGGTAACTTACAAGAGTCACATCTCCCTTTCCATCATGTGGGTCTGAGGCCCATCTTGGCTGCCAGGGCCTACACCCACGAACCATCCTGCCCACTCAGCACTTGCTTTTTAGAACCATATAGTTTAGGAAGACAAGTTTCTCTTTCTACAGTAGAATCTAGCTAATAAAGAACAAATGATAGAGTAATCAGTTTATGGATTCCTAATTATGAATCGCTCCAACCAAGGATCTTGAATGGCTGTTGAAACCAAGAGGCGAAAGCTGAATCTTCAGTCAATGAATGAGGCTGATAGGACTCGAACCTCTGATTAAGTGCAAAAAGAAAAATGATGGAATGGCATGTGCCTTCTGAGGGAAGGACACACTACCACCCCTGCTAAAATTCAAAGCTGAGTCAGATCTAACGTCTGGACACTTGCTGTGGATGTGTGTCCGAGAAGGCTTGTCATGATTGTTGATTGATGGAGGAGGCTCATCCCACTGTGGGCAGCACCATTCCCTGGGCAGGTAGTCTGGGCAGTGTAAGAAAGCCAGCTAGGCGTGAATCAGCAAGTGAGCCAGCAAGTAGCATTCCTCCGTGGCTTATACTTCAAGTTCCTGCCTGAGTTCCTGCCCTGACTTCCTTTGTGGATGGATGGTGACCAGAAAGGAGAAGATGGAAAAAACTTTCTCTTCCCCTAAGTTGCTTTTGGTCATCATTTGTCACAGCCACAGCATGGAGCTAGAACGCTAGACGAGGCTGGGAGGGTTTGTTAAAGTGGGCTGTTTCCATGGCAGTGCATAGTCTGGTTCTTTGTTGCTTTTGTTTTGTTCAACAAATGTTTGCTAAGAGTCGATAATACTTAGTCCTACGAGAAGCTTCTAGAAGGAATAAGGTAGGCTCGGTCCCTGCCGGCAGCTTAGCGATGACTGCGGCGAGGTAAGATTTCCACATATTTATTCTCTGGGAAGCTGTCAGTGTTAGTCCTCACAGCTTGTCAGTTGGCTTTAAAAGTGAGTGTATCATTATTTTGCCTGTGAACACTATTTCATCTTCCTCCAGGCCTCCGTGCCTTTTCTAATCTTAGAAACACCTCTCCCATCACCGACTATAAGGTAAGAGAGCTCGGTGATTTTGAGCACTTCTACGAAATAAAAACTCCAGCAGGTTATAATGCCCAGACACCACTTACAGGTACCCAAATCTCTTTCGAATAGTCCCTCACTCCCCTTCTCTTTTTTTCTTCCCCTACCCCAACTTTTCTTTCTCTGTGGCTGTATATTTCTAAAATGTATGTACTTGTGCTGGTGAGCTGGCCCAGTGGGTAAAGGTGCTTGCCACCAAGTCTGACAACCTGAATTCAATCCCCGGGACCCAAAGAGCAGGAGGAGAGAATCAACTCCTAGAAGCTGTCCTCTGACCGACATGCATGCTCGGAGTGCATGCACATGCGGTGTTCAGTCAGTTATTCTTTGGGTATACAATCCCAAGAAAACAATGAAAATGTTTAGCTACCTTGCATCCGAAGCAAAGAAGAACTCCACAGCTTTATCACCCACGGCGTGCAGGCAGGTGGAACTGTCCAGTCGCTTCATCCTGGTCTTGCAGATATTCTTCACATTCTCAATATTGCCTAGTAAACAAAAGAATGGGCTGCGAATCTCAGCAGGCTGCTTTATTTGCATAACACGTGGCAGAGAACCCATTTTCCTCTTTTGAATATTGTGTGGGAGAAATCTGCAATTTTTAGCTGTGGCTGTGCCAGCCAAATCACGTAAAAGCTCCCCAAATAGCCCAGTAGCGCTGAAAGAGCATTTACATGGCTACCGTGGGAGAGCAAGGCAAACGAAAACAAACCAAAGAAACTCAAATCAGGGCACAGTTACCATTCCCCCCCCCCCCCCCCAGCTGCCTGCTTCTCCCTCTATTTCTGTGCAGGTCTCAAAATATTCACGATGAAGTGCTTTTTTAAAAGATGGAGCCGAGTCCCCATTGCATGAACATCTTTGAAACCCAGAGTCACCCAGCAGCTGGGCCCAAGACAGTGTTTGGGGGCTGCCTCCAAACAGAGCTGGCTGCAGGGGGGGTAGCTACCCTGAGGCTGTCTGTTGATGTCCTCAAGAAACTCACATGTCCGGTATAAGACGGGGATCTGCTCTGTGGAGAGTTTGTATTTGCTTCGTACCCCGATGAGCAGTGGGCTGCCTCTCCTGCAGGAAGAAGAAGGTATCAAGTGACCCATCACCTTTAAGACGACAGGCCAGATGTCTTCCTGGCCTCTCGGTACACCCTCCTTTCCCTGGAGCAAAGACTGTGTTTAGGTCACACAGAAGGGACATCTTGACCATGAGATGCTGCCCTCCAGGTTTGGAGCAGGGACCAATAGACTGGCATGGAGATGTCAGCTCACTCACATCATCACCCAGGTATCTGACCAGTTAGCCTGGTAACACACTCTCCCCACTTTTGAGATGTTGAGCTCCTGGGTCTTGATATCCCCATAAGCAGCTAACCCACATGTCTACGTCTCAGGGGCTGAACATTTACCATGAGAGAAAGGCCTGGTGTAAGCAGAATATGGAGAAGTTATATGCAAATAATGCACTATGCTATTTTATACAAGGGACCTGAGCATCTAAGGGTTTTGGTATCTGGACAGGGTTTAGTGCCAGAACTTCCAGAGATACCGAGGGAAGACTGTGCTCTACTCTGTGGGCTGCAAAAGGCAGTTTCAAGGGCAGTTTTACCTTGACTTAAATGATACCCCTCTAAGGGAAAGTTAGAATCTTTGACCTGTACTAAAGTGGATTTCATCACAAAGGTCTTCCAGGAATGACAGAAGTTGACGAGGGTGAGAGTCTCGAACTCAGGCTCCTTCCTTGGTGCCCATCTCTGTCACAGCACCAGGTTCTCTGATTATCTTGGGATAGAATCTTCAGTGAAACACTTCACGGTATTTCTTTTCTGCTTACTATTGCTTTGGTAAGATTGTTGGAGGCATTAAGTCATGATTTTTTTTTTTTTTTTTTTGGCAGGGGCGGGTTCTTCGAGACAGGCTTTCTCTGTGTAACAGCCCAGGCTGTCCTGGAACTTATTTTGTAGACCAGGCTGGCCTGGAACTCACAAATATCCACCTGCCTCTGCTTGCCAAGTGCTGGGATTAAAGGCATGCACCACCACTGCCCAATTTTAGGTCATGATCTTAATGGCATCTTGCCTTCAAAATGCAGTTCTTTGCTTTATCTTATAGATTACAGCACTCACATGAGACAAACAGATCGCTTTCATAACTCACACAGTTCAGATCTCTGCATCCTAGAACCCAGGCAGGCAACATTCCAGGACAGCAGTTCCTCACTGCCCTCTGTCCATCCATGCAGACTGTGGGAGATAGTTCAGCTGGCCAAGTGGCTACCATGAAGGCATGAAGACCAAGGCAGGATCTCCAAAAAGCTACTTAAAAGCTGAACACAGTGGTGGGTGGTGTGCAGGTCTATAACCCCTGCAGGTAGGAAAGGGAGGCAGAACACTGAGACAATAGATGTATGGTTCCTTGGAATTCATTGGCCAGCCAGCCTACAGCTAGATGAGTGGGTGAGCTCCAGGTTCAATGATACCTTTTCTCAGAAAATAAGGTAAAAGGGCTGGAGAGATGACTCAGTGGTTAACAGCACATACTGATCTTGCATAGGACCTGAGTTTAGTTCCTAACACCCCCATGGTGGCTCACAACTATCCATAAGTCCAGATCTGATGCTCTCTTCTGACCTCTGTGGGCAGCAGGCACACAAGTGGGGCACATACATACATACAAGCAAAACACTCATTATACATGTAAAAGAGAATACCTGATGTGGACCTCTGGCCTCCACACACAGCTGCACCCTCAGACACACATGCATACACTGGCATGTACACACACACACACACACACACACACACACACACACACACACACACACACAAGACCTCCAGTGTAAGCCTGAAACTGCAGATAGTGAATACAATCTGCACCCAAGGTCTTCATATGCATTCATACCTATGATGGGTTAATTTAGGTGCAATAAAAGACTAACAACAACAACAAAATAAAAAAAATTATAACACTGCACCATAACAAAAATTATTTTAAACTTACAAATTATCTGTTTTTGGACCTTGTTTGACCAATAACTGAAACCTTAGACAGTCACACTTTACATTGAAACGGGGTGGGAAGGGGGTTTCTGTAGCTAGTGTGGACTGCTCCTCCAACATGTTAACTGGCTGATAAGAAAACACTGAACACATTTTGTTAGGACCATCTCAAGCATTTGACTTCAATGTAGTGGGCTAATAATTTGTCTTAAACAATTTCTAACATAGATTGATGTGCTTACAAACCACCTGCTTATTAATAGTTTGGATCCCGCCCACACATGGGCATTTGGGGTGTCCACCTGACTCAGACAGGTCTCTGTTATTTCTTTAGCAATGACAGTCCTGCTTCTCAGGAGCACTAACTTACTTAGACCCCCTCTTCTGATTTCTTGAAACAGGGGACAAAGTTCAAAAAGATTGAGAAAAAGGTGCTTTGAGTGTCCTGACAATTTTGTATAATACTTTGTTTTGTCTAAAACTAATCAGAGAGACCTTGTTCTAGGTCCAGTGAGGAGCTAGCTCAAATTGCACCCAAATAATGACAGATTTTAAGCATTAATAATAGTGCTTAAGGCTATCTGGGTTTCTGGGTAAATGGCTCCCTGGATCTTATTGTTCAGACTGAGCTCTCCTTTAAGATACAGAAGCCTCCTGAGACATCCCAAGGGCTGGCCTGGATGTTCCAGCCATTCGTCACAGGCAATTTAGAAAAATCAAGCTTTATTGCTTCCTCACACCACATTCATTTTAAACAGTAATATCACGTTATGAGATTTTAAAGGGAGCTTCTAGATTTGATAAGGACCAACTGGTATTTTATAATTCTATTCTATGATTTGATGAAATTACATTTCGAATGACAAATTAGTCCCAGTCCTGGGGAAAAAAGTAAGATTATGATAAATTCATCTGATTTTCTGGGTAGATATTGTGATAGTCTTCAAGGGACAGTCTCACCCAAGTCTGCTCAGGTCTCCCAGAGCCACATATATATTCTAAATGGCTCCTTTGTGCCTTTAGAATAAAACCAGCAGCCCACAGGACACCAAGGCCCCTTAGAGCTGGGTTTCTCCCAGAGCCTCCACTCACTAATAGCCTGTGAAGTTCATGGAGCAATGTCTATAACCACCGGATTCACTACTGTCCGCAAGCCCAGCCCACAGCAGGTATCAGTAAACATACATGGACACCGGAAGTCCTACCTCGGGCCGCCTCTACCCTGCCCTCACACACCCAAACTGGGAGGCTGGAGAGCCACACTTTCTGCTTATCCTTCCCTGTCTTGGTCTTGCTGCTGGGGAAGCAGTTACTACTCCCCGACTTTCCTGGGTTGACATCTGCCGCACTCTCAGGCCCCTGGTACGGTGGCCTCCCCAGCCCCCACCCAGAGCAGCTCCACTCTCTGCCCTTCTCTGTCTTCCGGAGCAAGCATCCTGGGAACATGTCCCAAAGTCTCCAGAAACCTGCTCATACTAAGAGTTCAACACACTGGATGTCTAGGTGAGTGGATAGTCAATCCGTCTGAATATAAAATAAAGGATGACATTTAATCTACTTCTATGAATCTAATCAGCGATGAGTCACCTTTGAGATGGGGGCTCCGATAGAGGAATGTGTGGCCTGACCAAGACTTCTTAGATGAACCCTATTATGCCCCTACCAAGTAGGTGACAAGGCATGAGCTTTGGGCTTTTAAGGACTTTTTTTTTTAAATTGCGTTTATTAGTTTATTGTGTGCATGTGGAGGGCACGAGGGGGGAGGTGCATGTGTGCCACGGTGTCAGTGGAGGTCAGAGAACACCTAGCAGATGGTTCTGTCCTCCCACCGTGTGGGGTTCAGGGGTTGAATTTGGCAGTCTCCGCAGCAAAGGCCGTCACCTGCTGATCTATCTTGGCGGCCCATTAAAGAACTAGATGCAGGGTTCGCCTTGGTCCGTTTCATATTCCCAATTGTGCATGCTTTGCCTAAGAAGGCTCCCTACATTAATTAGGATCTAAGCCCCCATAAAACTTGAGTCTAAGCCCTCATACACTTTTATTATTTTCTACTGGGGGGGGGGCAGTGTGTGTGTGTGTGTGTGTGTGTGTGTGTGTGTGTGTGTGTGTGTGTGCGTGTGCACATGTGCTACAAGTTAGCCTTGACTGTCATCCCTCTTCGGTCATCTGCCTTGGCTTTATTTTTCCCCCCTGAGACAGAGCCTCTCACTGAACCTGAGCACTCACCAGTTGGGTTCGGCTAGCTGTGAGCTCCAGGGATCCACCTGCCTCTGCCTCGAGAAGGCCAGGATGGCAAGCGTGTACCACCACACCCAGTTTTTCACGTGTGTGCTGGGGACCAAACTCAAGTCCTCACGCTTAAACAGCCAGCACTCGACCGACAGCTGTCTCCTCACCCCCAATACTTTTGTTATTATTACATTTTTACAACGAAATTAATTCGTTATCGGGGAGGGGATGATGGTATAGCATGCATGCACGGAGAGGTCTGTGGAGCCAGCTCCGTTCTTCTGCCTTTACGTGGATCCCAGGGAGGAAACTCAGGTTGTGAGGCTCGCACAGTACCCAACATTTGTTTGTTTGTTTGTTTGTTTATGTATTAGTTTTTGGAGACACAGTTTCTCTGTGTAGTTTTAGAGCCTGTCCTGGTCTTGCTCTGTAGACCAGGCTGGCCTTGAACTCACAGAGATCCACCTGGCTCTGACTCCCGAAGGCTGGCCTTGAACTCACAGAGATCTGCCTGCCTCTGCCTCCCGAATGCTGGGATTAAAGGTGTGTGCCACCACTGCTTGGCCATTTATTTTTTAATATTAATTTGTTGTCAACTTCTAACAGTCTAGAGATTTCACATAAAAAAATCCAACTTTATGTTTTCTCTTTTATTTGTGGGTTTTCTTTTCTTTTTATTTCTTTTTTTTTCCCCCTCTTTTGAGACAAGGTTCCTGGCTGTCCTGGAACTCACTCTGTAGACCAGGCTGGACTCGAACGCAGAGATCCACCTGCCTCTGCCCCCTGAGTGCTGCAATTAAAGATGTGCGCCGCCACCACTTGGCCTATGTTTCCCTTTTAAAAACAGGAGCTTGCACCACTGGCCACGGTGGTGCAGTGCCCGGGCCACAGCTGATGTCTTTTAGACCCAACAAGCACTGGGCAGTTTGCTGGAGACCATGAACTCTCTGGTGTCCCACGCCAAAGGATTTGATCTTATTTATGTGTTTGTTCCTGGAAGCACCCACACGCTTGCCTTACCTTGTGGCAACAGCTTCTCCCGGGTAGTGGATGCTCTTGAACACCAATGCAAAGGCACCTTCCTGAAAACACAGCAAAAAGGGTGAAGGGTTGTGGAGTAGCGGTTGCTCTGACTAGCCCCGCCACTGCAGACCACTGGCCTAGGCAGGCACCCCCAGCTCCTCTCCATGGCAGATACGGGCTGCATAGGGATCTGAGTGCAGAGGCAGCTTATGGAGGATGCAGTCAGAACGGAAGCCAAATCGATGGCCTCGTGCTCAGGTGTGGAAGTTCACCCTCACGAGGAACTCCTGAGAGATGCCCAGGGTGGAGAGGTGCAGCCCAAGCCACAGAGAGTAAGGACCAGGGCTAGAGAAACCCAGCACTGAGCCTGTACAGGGAGCAGCTGGGAAGGTCCAAGAGGTTGATCAACATGGCTCAACACTGGGTCAAACCTGGGATCCAGTTCTGGTTTTATCCCCTCCCTTAATTAGGCAGTTGCTTCAGCCACCTTCATGCCTCAGTTTCCTTCTCTGTGGCCTAGAGGACAGCATACAGTCTATCTGTATGTTTTTGAGGTTCAAGGCTAATGTACAGTAAGTGTTTAGAATGTGTGCCTGGCCTTTAGAGAATCCGGAGAACTGGTGGTGTTAATTCTCTTACTTTCATTGCTACGGCTATGACTGTTATTTGCTGTTTGCACAAAGCTAGAACTAGACTCTAGTTTTCCTAATTCAGGACTACAAATTCTAAGATTTACTTATTTGGTTAATGTGTGTGCCTATTTGCCAACATGACTTTATGTGCATTATGTGTGTGCAGTGCCCACAGAGGCCATAAGAGGGCGACAGATCCTCTGGAAATGGAGTTACAGAAGATTGTGAGCCACCCAACATGGGTGCTGGAAACTGAACCTGGGTCCTCTACAAGATCAGTAAGTACTGTTAACCAGTGAGCCTTCTTCTCCAGCTTATCATATGTCTTTTTTACTTAAATTCTTCATGAAAAATTATCCCCTGAACTTGACCATCCCAATTTGCCATGGCCCCAGAAGATTTCAGTTATGTACAACAAATTATGAATCTGAATTTCTATGTGAAGTTCTTAATCTTTGAAATTCTGGGTGGACTTCAGGCTCTATGCAGCCAGGGTGGTACATCCAATTTGTGGACGAAGCCACAAAAACATTGAGTTCTGGGGTTAATGACCTAGGCTCTCAATGGGTTTTCAAACTGCCCAGGAAGAAGGGCTTCATGCAGATATTGAGTGTCACAACATCACATGGTCCCAGCTTGGTTTATGCTAACAGTGAAAGACAGAACAGAAATACATTTCCTACTCTCCATCAAAAAGAGTTCTATGTTTCTTCAGGTAAGAAAGATAAAACAGTCTAAAAGTGCCGTGATGGGGAAGGCATTTCTAAATCCCAAAATCAGAGTACAGGTGATGTAGTTGAGTAGCAGAGTGCTTGCCTAGCACTTGCCAGGCCCTGGGTTCAATCCTCAGGATGGCAACAAAACAAAACAAAACAAAAACAGCAAAGAACGAAACACTGTTACAATACCCAATCTGTTTGCCTACTTTATTTACAACTGACCCTCCTTGTCTTTGGATGCAGATTTGAGTGTGACTCGGTGATGGAGAGCTTGTTGAGTGTGTGTGAGGCTCTGGATTTGATTTCCAGCATCAGAAAGAAAAGGAAAAAAAAAAATGTTCTGAAAACATGTTCAGTTGTTACTGGGTGAACTGCACAGCCAGCCTATGATGGAGTACCCCGAGTGGGCATGCCCAGACTTGTCCCTGCCACTATTCCCTAGAGTTTCCAATGTAGTGAAACCATCATCTACATGGTTCCACTGTATTAGGTATTATATCTAATATATTAATCTAGAGATAATTTAAAACACACAGGGCGATGTGCATAGGTTATATACAAATACGGCATCAGTTTATATGAAACTTGATGGGGGTATCTAATTAGGATCTTGGAACCAATTCATACTAGTACCAAGGAATGACATGATAGAAGATGTCGTGATTTAGAAATAGGTCCTCTAAATTACGGACCCCCAAAAGAGATGGCACAGATCAAGGGTTTTGGCAGTGATCCACTCTGAAAACTTTTGCTTTAGGCTGACAGATCTAAAACCATAGCATGGTGCTGGGGGGTGCCTTTCTGTGTGCTGTGAATATGTGTGGCTCCCACTGGCTAATAAATAAGGCTGTCTGGGCCTATGGCAAGAAAGCTTACAGCCAGGCGGGAAGTCCAAGCGAGACAGAGAGAGAAGAAAGGCGGAGTCAAGGGATGTGATCCAGGCACCCAAGAGGGAAGACGTGTAAGTACAGCATGATAACCCACAACACTCTCTGACCCAGTGTGTCCTCGATTCTGAGCCTTGAACACTATCTCCAGGCTGCTGCAGCCTTGGACCCGTTCTTGGATGGCATGATACCTTGGGGATGGGCTCTGAGAGATCCAACCCCCTTTTCCCTCACTCTCATTCCATGCAGTTTTCCTCCTTGGACAAGGACCCAGCCCCCAGGTCTGTCCCCTCCCCCATAAGGCCCCAGCCTGCTGGATGTGTTTATTTGGGTCTGAGCAGCTACGGGATTGGTGGGCGAGAGAGATTTGTCCTGACTGTGGGCCAGGCAGGACCAGGAGATAACCCCAGCAACACCAACCTCCATGTCTGTCCCCCCGGACAAGGCTCCAGCCCCATGTCTGTGTCCCCCCCACACACAAGGCCCCAGCCCCATGTCTGTCCCCCCGGACAAGCCCCCAGCCCCATGTCTGTCCCCCCGGAGAAGCCCCCAGGCCCATGTCTGTCCCCCCAGAGAAGCCCCCAGCCCCATGTCCATCTCCCTTTGAGAGTAGCTGTGCTTCTTGAGTCTAGCTGTTTGATGCATCACCAATTTCCCCTGCTCTCTACCCTAGGCCACTCCCTTCAGCAATTCCCTGTGCTCCGATCTCTCCTATCACAAAACCACAATCTTCTTCTGGAACTGGCAACATCTCTTGCCCCACAGCTCTTGCTGTGCACCCCTAACAAATCAGATAATTCGGAAATCTATTCCTGTGTGCTCTACGCATGCCTGCCTTCTTCCCTCCTTCCCTCCTTCCTTTCCCATTTTGTAATTAATTGCGGGCATTTCTCCCCGACTGCTTTACTGACAAAGAGGAAAGACTACAGTTCTGAGTCTCCAACCTCAGTCACGGTCATCTGATTAGCATATAACAGTGCATATAATTTAGTTTTAGAGACAACAACGAGAACCCTGACAGCTACATTACCACGTGCACACAGCCCACGGTTATAAAAACCACAGATTACGATGCCAGCCACCATCTCAGAGGGGCTAAAATGAAGCAAGCATTTTGTCAGAGATTCACTTCCCAAACTGGACTTTCTCCAGATTCTACAGGAATACAGCATTGTAAGTACGACTATAAACAAACTATCTTTCCCCCTCAGTACCTTGTGCAAATTTGCACAAGTGAAAAATGAAGGTGTGTCTAGGCAGACGGCACTCATAGGGGCCCATAACTCACCAACTGCTGAATGACTCTCTCCACCAATGTTGAAAAGGTAATGTCCTCAGTCTCTCTGTTGTCGAATACGTATTTAATCAGCTTGGCGATGGTCTCCGTGTCTGTTTCTGACTCAAACTCGTAGCCCTTGCTTTCCTGGAATGTGGGGTTGTACCCAGGGTGACAGATGTTGGTCATTGTGCAATTGCTGGCTGGGCCAACTCCCTCTAGTCCCTTATGCTATGACTTAAGGCAAGAACAAGCAAAACTGGGAAGGCATGAGAAAGGTCTGCCAGAACCCAGCAGCCAACACCTCTGAGTCACCCTCTTACTCCCAGAGACCTCCCTCCTCAGGAGCTTGTCGTCACCGTTAATCTGGACATTGCAAAAGAGCAGCAGTTATGATAAAATATGTGAGTCAAACCCACTCACATCCCAACTCACACCACACAACCTTTTCATGGTGTGGAACTCATCGTCTGGCTTCCCACCCCACATTCTATGGGTGTCTGAGTGGATGTGTGACATGGTAGAAGCGACTTTGGTGAAACCCGGTTCACATTATTTTGATTCTGTGAAACCACAGCAGCCCTGGAGATACACACTAAAGCCCTGGAATCTCTCCCCAGACAGTCTGAACACGGTGGTCCGGCTGAGGGTAAGATTCACGCTCACAGTTGTGATGTGGCCCAGAGTGGGTGTCCCTCAGTACCTGTGTGTGTTTTTGGAGAGAACTAGGCTAAGCGAAAGTGTCAGGAGGAAGATCAATGCTGACTCAGATTTGACTTAGCCAGGGGAAGCCCCTTACCAGAAATTTCCTTAGATCCTTGTAATTTGTGATGATCCCATTATGGATGACAACAAATTCTGAAAGAAGAGTGTGGGGGAGAGAGAAGTGAGAGCTGAAAGTGAAGTTCAAGCTGGATGCTGAGGGAGATGATCGACAGCTGGACATTCCTCCCCGAGACGTGTGGTCATCAGGTTTCATTTGCAGTGACTAAGACTGATGTCTGCATCAGCAGCTTTCACTGGAAGAGGCAACCTGTCTGTCAGTGATAAGCATCTCTGGGTAGCCCTGGCTGTCCTGGAACACACTCTGTAGACCAAGCTGGCCTCGAATTCAGAGATCTGCCTGCCTCAGTCAGCCTCTGTTGGGATTAAGGGCATGCGCCACCACCGCCTGGCTCTTAGCGTATTTTGAAGTGAGGAGCTTCTGGTGGGGTTTGCCTTGTCACTAGGCAGGACAGGAGGCTATGCGTCTGCAGCCTCTGCCCCTCCAAACCTTAAACTCTTGGCTGCTGAGCCCTGACTCTGGGATCTAGGGCTTGGCGAGGCACCTAGGCACTAACCATAATCAGCAATACTGTCTGCCTTCCCTTAGGACCACTCTGTGTGTGTGTGGGGGGGGGGGGGGAGGTATGCATGCATGTGTATGTAAGTCCAGTTTAGCAAAGTTGACATTGCTTTCCATGTTATTTTTGAGCCGGGTGGGGTGGGGGGGGGGGGGGGGGGGAGTGAGCTCCGCTGGGAGAAGAAGGAGCTCCATGCTTCTCTTTAGGGTCCTAGCCTTCTAGAACATTTTGCTCTGCTCATACTATCTGCTATGGGTTGAGTGTATCGTTCAAGAGCTCAGTGCATGTGACACTGCGTCCCCAGGGTGATCATGTGAAAGGGGGTAAGACCATTAAGAGATGGGTCCTAAGGGGAGGTTATTGGAGACACGCTTGCAGAAGAAGCTAATAGAGTTCTCATGGGATCCTCGCTAGTTCTGGAGAGCGCGTGTTGTTACGGAGAGAGGCCACACACTTGGCCCCTTCTTCACGCGGCCAATTTCTTCTTCTGTTTTGTCACCATGTGGTGTTGAAGCCAAGGGGAGTCTCCCCAGAGATCAGACAGATGCACTGCCTGATCAAGGATTTTCTGCCCCTAAAACTGAGACCTAAATAAATCTCTTTTCTTTGTGAAGTAGCCTGCTCCAGGTACTTTGCTATAGTGGTGGAAAATGAACTAATGCACTGTTGTATTTCACTCTTGGAATGAATTCCCAAGAGCCCTTGTGATAAAATGCCATCATTTCCGGTGTGTACCTAGGTCAGCAGCACCCAGGGGACTAGAGGTTGGCCTGACTGAGGCCCAGTGTGACCCACTAGGGTATTAGGGGTGGAGATGCTTAGATTATCTCAAGGCGACAGGTGGGGAAGGCAGTTTGAAGTGGGCATGGAAGCCACTCGGGCCAGGGTCATCTCTGACAGGTCACTCGGGGAGAGGAAATAACACCCTGAACAGGGTCTCCTTACCATTGCCTTTGTCTGAGCGCTGGGGGTGACTGTTGACAGCATTGGGGACCCCATGGGTGGCCCAGCGTGTATGGGCGATGCCGAAGTGGGTCTCAAACTCCACCTTCAAGTCCATGCTGTCTTGCTCTAAACAGAAAGAAAATCAGTTGTTGTATTTGTGTGTCCTGGCTATCCTGGAACTCACTCTGTAGACAGGCTGGCCTCAAACTCACAGAGATCCGCCTGCCTCTGCCTCCTAAGTGCTGGGATTAAAACATTCACCACCACAGCCCAGCTGCCTCTGCCTTTTGACAGCTGGAATGACTGCCATGCCTACCTGGTATTTATAGAGGTGCTAGGGTCTGAACTCTGGTCCTCAGGCTTGTGTGGCAAGCAAAGCCATCTCCTGGACAACTGTACTTCAAAAACAAGCATTGTCGCTGGGTGGTGGTGGCGCATGCCTTTGATCACAGCACTTGGATAGCAGAGGCAGGTGGATCCCTAAATTCAAGGCCAGCCTGGTCTACAAGTGAGTTCCAAGACAGCCAGGGCTATACAGAGAAACCCTGTCTCAAGGTGAAGAGGGGGGAGAGCATTGGCACCCCACCACTGAGGCCAGGTGGTTTCATTACACTTGACACACCATCTTAACCAATGGTCCACCTTTAATGTCAGCCACACACGTGGCAGACACCACAGGGATCTGCCTTATCTGGGTACCACCCACGCTGTTAAGTTTTACTTAGTGTTTTAACTGAACCATTTCCTTTTTCCCTTTTGAGACAGGGCCCTGTAGCCCTGGAACTCATTACATAAACCAAACTGGCCTCAAACTGGCAGCTGTACTTCTTTCTGCCTCAGCCTCCCAAGTGCTAGGATTACAGGCTGGGGCCACTATGTCATACCCTTATTATTATTATTTTTTGCTGGTTTATTTATTTATTTAGACACAGGGCTTCTCTGTGCAGCTGGCTGTCCTGGATCTCACTCTGTAGACCAGGCTGGCTTTGACCTCACAGAGATCCACCTGCCTCTGCCTCCCAGAGTGCTGGGATTAAAGGCATATGTCACCACCACCAGGCTCAATCTTTATTTCTTAATCAAAATAAGTTGATTTAGAAAGGAAAATGATATATCTCTAATATAAATAGAAAAGCAGTATTGCATGCCAGAATAATTAAATGCATAAGTATTAAAATAGTTTTTAGAGTCTCCGCATTTAGCTGCTTAAAATAAGGCATCCTACACTTTGAGACAGTCTTAACAACATGCCTTTAACCCTCTGACAGTCACCCAAGGGTAGATGAATTTTCAGTCTCAAATGCTGTTGGCAATGACATATTTTCAAGGGACCTGTGTGCCAGCCATCACTGACACAGAGCGTTTCCTACTCACTGTAAAGTTCTTCATCCAGAGCCTTCACTTTTCCCCGTTTCTTCACGAGATGGATGTGCCTTTCTTTGACTTCATGGTTATTCCCATCAATGGCCACACCTACAGTTTACAGAAAGCACGGAGTTCTGATGCCTGCCTATTACCAGCGTGACCCCCAGAAATGCTCAGAAAGAGCCCCTACTCCAAAGAGGCAGCCGCTGTTCACACTTCCATCAGAGTAGAGCACTTTGCTTATTTTAGAACTTTGTAAACTTGAAAACATAAACACTTTTCACGGTGGAGTTAAGTTTTGTCATCGCACGGTGCAGCTTGCCAGCTCTGTCCAAGGCTTCACATCCATGACCAACCAACAGATGATCAGAAGTCTCGAAAATAAAACAGGGGCTAAGGTGATAATAGCTCAGCTGGACCTGAGTGCAGTCTCCAGAACACACATGAAAACTCCAGGCATGAGCCGGACGGTGGTGGCGCTTGCCTTTAATCTCAGGCAGGCGGATCTCTGTGAGTTTGAAGCCAGCCAGGTCTACAGAGTGAGTTCCAGGACAGACAGGGCTACATGAAGAAACCCTGTCTCAAAAATAACCAAAAAAAGGAAGGAAGGAAGGAACATCTGCCATTAAAGGCCTGGGGCGATTCAAAGGCACTTATCCTGCTGTGCTCTTTGCCAGGTGACCCCTAGTTATCATCTCCCTCCATTTACATGTCTGTAAACCTTGTCAGTCACCTGTCTCCTTGACTCAGCAAGCTACTTAATTAATCCTTTGGCCAGTGGAGGAGGGAACCCTGAGACAACCACCTAATAAGGATTGGGAAGTGAGTTAGAAAGGTACTCAGGAAGGGCTTTGGAATTCGGAAGTGCTGAGAAAGGTGAAGCAAGATTGTAAAGCCACAGGGACTAGGGATCTGATACCAAGTAGAGTGTGTGGAAAGCCCTGGATTCGATCTGTTTTGTTTTGTAGTTTTATTTTCAAGACAGGGTCTCTCTGTGTAACTCTGTCCTGGAACTCATTCTGTAGACCAAGCTGGCCTTGAACTCAGAGATCGGTCTGCCTCTGCCTCCCTCCTGAGTGCTGGGATCAAAGCTGTGAGCCATCATGGCCCCCACCACCCAGCATAACTAGCTCAGTCTTTAATATCCTAACTAGTTAAATGTTACAAAATTGCATAATGATGGTTAAGGGGGGGGGGGGAAGAAAATTTATTTACAGAACTCTCTCCATCTCAACCCAGATAGTATCAATGCACAGCAGGGGCGCAGGAAACTGCTAGAGGGGAATTTACTGAGGTGTGATAGACAGGCAAAAAACTGCGTGGATATCTAATGTACCAAACTCGGTGGACTTGGAGATAGGGATCTACCGGTGGTGGAAATACCCCCCAACTTCTTCACCTAGGTTTTCTCCTGCCCTCCTTCCTCCATCAGCATTAACGTGTGTGCACATCAAATCTTACGAATGCTAAAGAACACAGTACCATATTGTTAACCATCCCCTCTAAGCTGCCCGGGGATCTCCAGGACTCACTTATCTCGCACAACTGAAACTTTGTGTCCTTTGAGCAATCCTGATGAGGCTATGTCTGGTAGAGATTTTGTTAGAGATTTGTTTTTTAACCCTTGTGTTTTCTTTTCTACTGTTAAAAATAATAAAATGTTTTCTCAATTTTTCTACACTTTTGAAACTTCTTTAATAAGCAAATGTGGTTATTCTTAGATTATTAAAGGCAACTGTAGAGAGACTGACGGGGGAGAGAAAAAGGCTTGGTCTGCCCTTAGGCAGGGCAATGTTTATTCACATGGGGGGGGGCACTTTTACCACCCATGTGTGCAGATGGCCAAAATGCCTACAGAAAACGGAATGTGGCCCCTTAAAGGGCAAATGTGACTTCTACAGTCCACAAAGGAAGCTGGGAGGTGTAGTCTTTCACCAGGAAGCTACCAGTTATTATATTAATAAAGGAATGATAAGAAGTGTCAGGGAAATTCCCAGGCTGGAAAAGCCCCACCGCAAAGAACATGGCTAAGAGTCTAAGCGGCCATGATGGGGTGTCTTGGGAGACCTACCTGCGGAGTCATAGCCCCGGTACTCCAGCCGCTGCAGACCCTTGATTAAGGTTTCGAAAATCTCTTTCCTCGTCTTGGGAACTCTGTAATTCATATATGCAAAGATTCCTGTCCAAAGAGAAAACAAAATGTCACCTTAAGAAAATACCAGTGTTCTCAGAAAATTAGGAATCAAACTACCTCAAGACCCAGCCATCCCACTCTTGGGCATATACCCAAAGAATGCTGATACATACCATAAAGATACATGCTCAGCTATGTTCATAGCAGCACTGTTTGTAATAGCCAGAACCTGGAAACAACCTAGATGCCCATCAACGGAAGAATGGATGAAAAAAATGTGGTACA